TCTGCTTATCTCCCTATCGCACGTGACCCCTGCTCCCGTTGTTCTGACACCTTCCGGCTGCATCTTTACTACGCCTCGCACGGCGCGCAACGGGATGCGTGAGGCTGAGATGGGTGCTTTATAATAGGCGGTAGAAGACGGTTTAAACGATATAGAAATGACGTATTTTAGCACGTTATTTCGAAAATTCTCCTGGCGGCGTTATCTGCGTGCAAAGATAGAGAGCCTCTTTTCAGTGGTAACCTTAGACACAGCATTTCCGGCCCAGCGAGCGCGTTGATGCCTGCTCCCCTGCAACCCCGCCCAACTCCAGTTCCGTTCCTCAAGGCATTGGCGGGCCCTGGAAGGGGCCGGTCTCCGGTACGAGTGCCAATAAAGTGGGACGTGGCGCGGGTAGATGTCTGGAGCCACCCCGTGCGGGGCTAAGATCCATGTCATGCCCTAAGGACAGGGTGCACGAGAAACCGCCACACAACTCCAGTCAACTTCGGTCCTTTCTTCCACTGCGCTCTTGATCACGGGCCAGCTACCTGTATCCTCGCGGCTTCCGATCAAGGGTGGCCCCTCTGACAGATGACATCTATGGACAAGTGCGGCAATGCCGCCTGCACAACGTCGTCGCCCTCAGACTCCAACTCCCTCCGGCTGTGCTCCAGATGCCGCCGGACAGCATACTGCTCGCCTGAGTGTCAGTCCGCGGCCTGGTCGTCTCACAAAGGGGTCTGCGTCCGGCCCAACTACATAATCAAGTTCCACCTGGCCCCGGAGCACATTACGAACCCGCCCGTGACGCGCACCTTGTCGTGCCCCGCGCACACCGTCTTCTACATGCTTCATCTGGCACTGCAAACAGCGTTTGGCTGGGCCACCACGCATTCGTTCGACTTCGCTGTCGTGGACCCAGATTACCGCGAGCCCGATGACATCATGGAGATCATCATCAGACGCAACGCCATGGGTCCGACGGGTGATCAACTTCCTCCGGCTTCCGCGCCGAGGCAGTATCTCTTTCGTGTTGTCGACCCGGCTAAGCAGACCATGTTCTCCGGCATCGATCGCATGCACGAGCCGATGAGGCGTCATCCCAACACACCAGAGAGGAAAGCCGACAAGTACAAGCTGTTCGAGTTATTTGACGATGTACGGTTCCAAAGTATGTGTGCATCAGCCGAGTCTCCTTACCGCCCCTTTCCTAACACTTGAGCCAGGTCGTCAGATTGTTTATACCTACGACTTTGGTGATAACTGGGAACACTATTTAACAGTATTGGGACGTGCCGATCCCACCCCCGACTTTATCTGCTTGGATGGGTCTGGCCACTACGTAGCAGAAGACTCAGGCAGTGCAAGGGGATGGGAAGATGTCAAAGCGGCCTACCGAAACCAAAGCCCAACTAAGGAGCAGAGGGAGCGTCGGCAGTGGCTCGAGAGACGAGCCAGCAACCCTGACCCGAGAGGGCTGGCGGGGGATCGTGTGAATTCATGGAACCGAGACAAGATCAACCGGGACCTCAGGACGGACACGATGTTTGAACGCTTCCAGATGATGGGAGACGCTGCTGCAGCCTACCAAGATCGTGCTTCTGCAGCTTTTCAATCTGGAAGATAGAATTGTCGCATGCTATAATGAAAGGGTCGATGGACCCTCTGAGTTATCGGATCCTGGTGAATGCCATCATGCTTACCTTGAGGCTCTTTCGCCGATCGGCGGAGCACCTTCGTTTCATACCAGTCTTCGCTTCTTTGGAAGACGGGAAACCTTTCCGCCTTTTCTACCTGCCAGCGCCAGAAAAGCCAGAACGCGAGGGCGCCGATGAGACAAGACCTGGGATATCGATGCCGAAAAGGAGATCCGTACTCCATGCGGCCGTGCTGGTTGGTCCTCCCACAGTTCATCACGACAACCAGCGCCTTTGTGGTATACCCCTGGGCCTTGAAGCCCTCGTTGGGTAAGTCCAGGGGAAAGCAGTCTGCCAACTCCATCGGCAGGCGGTTGCCAGACCGCAGTAGCATGTGGTTCCCGAGCAGAAGTCCACCTGCGTCCTCAGGGCGCAGGCGATCTCTTTCCTCTCGGACCATGCCACGTTGGTGTGGTCGGGTATCTGCGCCGGCGCATACATATCTCTCAGAATTCCAACTCCCCTGTCCATGTACTCCTTCCTCTTCCGGCTCCAAGTCGTTGCAAGAATGCTGCGCTTGAGCGCCTTCAGCGCCACTCCTGTGGCCGGGCCGCAGGATTGACCCCGGCTCTTCTGCTCGTCGTAAAGCATCTGTATGGCCGAGACGTAGCCCCGTACAGTATTATACTGTAGTTTGAGCGTGGACTCATACAACTCCAAGTCGGAGTCTGACTCGTATTCGCTACCTCCGCCACCTACAACGATGGTATCTGCTGGGGGAAGCTGGGTGTTAGTATGATGGGCTGGCTCAGTCCGACGGCCACATCCCGTGATCAACACCTGTTACCTGATGGTGCTCTACGGTTTTTCACGGCCCTCTTGGCTTCCTGAGCCTCGACGTGTCGTTTCTTTCATCGGCGACCCTCTTTCCTTTCTTTGGAGGGCGTGATGCCACTACCTCCTTCATGAAAAGCAAGAGCTTTCCTTCGTCGACCAGGTCTCCCGGTAGCTGTTGGCCCTGTGGTACTGAGGCCGGCCAAACGTCCGGGATCGCAGGCCAGTTGGCTTGACACCACTCCTGTGAGGCAGTCAATGCATGGATCTACATGAAGATTGCAGGGCGCGCATGCGGGCTTGCCTTCCATTCTTCCTGCTTGGGACGATAATTTCGCTTCGTATTCTTCGGCTGGGTGTTCTCCAGATCTAACAGGTAGTGCTCAATGGCCGCCCTGACCCGGGGATCCTCTATCGCGTTCGACATGGTGCAGGCGGTCGCCGTCGCGACGGTGGCAATGGAGGAGGTGGAGGAGGTGGAGGAGGGAGGTTGGAGGTGGGAGGTGGAGCGCAACGCGCGTGAACGAGACCGAAATCGAAGGTCTCGCGCAGGGCCCCGCGGGCTCGGACCTTCGATTTTGTCGTCCGATGGCGGTAATCCGACTAAGAAAACGCCAGCCCCGCAGTCGGGCCTTCGAAAACGACATGGTTTTGCGTGGGGCGGGGCGGTAATCCGATTACCGGATGACCGGTCAGCCGGCCCCGGGGCCTGTGACACCACAGAATATCAGATCATCTGGGAATCTACCTACGAGAAGTCCCTTTATTCACTTTTATGCCCACTTTTTATCTCTCCTTCGCGAGAGCTGGGCTCCTTTCCCCAGCCCCCCCCCTTTGCATACTGACTTTCCCTAGTCGCCGAGGGCTCTTTCAGCTTCCCCCGTATATGCAGTCTCTCTACAGCCTATGTGGCTGCCTAATGCGGTCTCCTAATAGCCTTCTGCAGCCTCAGAACTCTCTGCAGGCTGCCTTTCTGTCTAGCCTGTCGGGGCCCTTAGCTGTATACCCCTTATGGTCACCCCGAGCTCAAGATCTCAGACGTGCTTCGCGACAGGATTACGAGTTCTCGAAGAGTTGGATTGGATTGGATCGATTGGCAGCCCTGGAGCTCCAATGGTCTAACCCGATGAAGCAACGGCTAAGCCTAATTTGGTGCTCCCCTCAGCGATCTTGTCGCTGGTTACAACACGACGCGCGCTACGGTACTGTCGGTGGACCAGGGTAGCCCTGTTAGGAGGGACCCGGAGAAGGGATTCCTGGCCTATGTAGCAGGAACGCATGAGGACTTCCTGAGTAAGGAAGGCAACCCCTTTTATGCGTGGGCACAGCCACGTATGCGTGGGTAGAGCCCATTACTCAGGAGCCCCAGAAGTCCCTAAGACCTCCTGTATAAATAGCCCCTTCAGACTGCCCCTTTAGATATAGAACATGCATCTTGAACCTTCGTGTGTGACCCCCTTCTTATTCCGATGTGTATTGGCATAACGTTCCACCAACAGGGGTATATATACAACTTCGCAATCGAATCCGGCAACATCAGGAAAGTGGTCACCAACCTATCCTTGCGGTAGCAGAGCCTCCAAGAGGCGGGCTGGCAAGACACGCAAGTGACTTCAATCTTGATTTAAATATACATGCTAATTAAAATATTATAGGAGCAACTGGAACAAATACTCGAACGGAACCATACTCTTTTACGAGCTCAAACACGGCTTCAGGGCGACGCTATTCCACCAAGCGCTCAACACCAGTTCCGACTATTTGAAGAGGAAGACATTCAGGGTATACCCGAGCCGCTTGGAATCTCGTAATGCAACCATCTGCGCCAAGGTGCTACCGGTAATAATAGCTGTATGCCTTGACTCGGAAGCACAATTTCTCGCGAAGGAGAGATCAAAAGTGGGCATAGAAGTGAATAAAGGGACTTTTCATAGGTAGATTCCCAGATGATCTGATAGTCTGTGATTTCCATGTGTTCTTTATCCGTCTAACCCTCCCCTTTTATATCCTAGAGAGACCTAGAGACCTCAACTCGTTCGGACCTTCTTCTCGACACAATTTGCACAAACCAGGCAAGAGTAGTATCACATCGTCAGATTAGATTATAGCCCAAAAAAGGCGCAAGAAGTTGCAGGATCGAGTCACCGAAGAATTATCTCTTTTGGGTGTTGTGTACCGGTACGGGGCTTGAGGACATGATGGTTTTAAGATTTTAATACTAAAGTTGCAGCTTACAGTCCGCCCCAGAATTGGGAAAAGATATCATTTACGTTGCTAGAGGCAGCAGCATATAATAGCAGCAGGCTCCATAAGACTAATGCATCTGCTTCAAGCCTCATATATTGATGCGAGAGGTATGATAAATGTGCGATGCGCAATTGCTGCAAAAGGCGATGCAGGTATACTAGCCTGATGTGACGCATGCGGTGGCCGGTATTTTTTTGGTGCGGTTTTTGCCAACCTTGCCTAATGTGCGACCGTAAGGAACCCTTAAGTCCTTTCGTTCCGAAAGGCATGGCGATTTTTTTTTTCCCCGGGGAGGAACCCTTAAGTCCTTTCGTTCCGAAAGGCACTTCGTTCCTCAAGGCATTCCAGAGGATCCTCGACTTTTAGATCAGCCTTAGTGGTCCTAGCCATAAACTCGTCAAGCTCAGAAGGTCAGTCTTGCCCGTTTCTTTCTGCGCGTGCCTGATGCTGCGACGGCAGCAAGCCTCTGACGACGTTTCCGGGCTTGCTGGAGCAGGTCTAGGCCTACTGCATCGTCTGAAGCGCTCTCCTCATTTTCCTCCTCTCGTGTCCGCGGTGATCTCTCTGTTGCTTCCGCTTCCATAGCCGCCTCCTCGTATTTCGCATAGGCCTCCTGTACCACTCTCTTTGCTTCGCTGACCCATTGCTTGTTGTGGCTCCACTCAAGTTCGAAGTAAGCGAACTTGTTTGCCGGATGCAGCGCAACTGCGCACCGGTATGCGGGCGTGGCATCCGTGAGTCCAAAATATTCTTCAAGCTTGAGACGGGCAGCATCAATGGCATGGGAGTAGTATGTCGAAACCGCGTCAGGGTGGTCATCAGCAAACTTGCCCGCCTCCTGCAGCTTCTTGAACAGGACATCAAGCGATTCAATTGTCTCGTGGAGGGAACCATGGGACCCTTCTCGGCCAGCCTTGTTTGCCCGGCCTTCCACGCGCTTAGTCAGGTCCTTGAAAGGCTTCAGAATGCTGAGGAAATGGCCCAGGTCGATCCAGTCCTGAGGAGTGAGGATATCTTGAGTGATATTGTATCCGTCGCCGTTGTAGCTGTAGTTGAGGAAGAATAGATTAATGGCGTGACGAAGTTTGAGAGCCCTTTCAATCATAGCATAGGCAGAGTTCCAGCGGATGCCTCCGTCGACCAGGACTCTTGTGTAGAGGCGCTCGATGCTGCCCTCATCGTACGCCTGCAGAATGTACCGTTTCAGTTGCTCCCGTCGCTGGTCGCTTCGGTTAATCCACACAGAGAAGTTATGAAGCTTGCCGATAAAGCTGTGCTTCCTCCATATTTCGAATCGCTCGTCATCAGACGCACCACGAAGCTGTCTTTCTAGCCCGCTAACACCCTTGCCAAAGAGGAGAGCCTTGACAATGAGATTGAGTATGTGGCCAACACATCGAAGCCGACTCTGGCGATTTACTGTCGAGTACCGCCTTGATAACTCGTGAATGCATGTATCATTGCTGCTCGCGTTGTCCATCATGAAGAAGCCAATGTTTGGGGCGAGGCCGTAACAGTCTATGACCGTTGATAGCACTTTTGCAATATTCTCGCCAGAGTGAGGACCTTTCAGAGGGGGCAGGTCCAGCAGAGCAGTTTGAAGCTTATGTTTGTCATCCAAGAAGTGAGAAACGACCGCAAGATAGTTAGTGCCTTCCTCGGATGTCCACGCATCCATCGAGAGGTGCACCCTGCTCTTGCTAACGTGGAGCTGGTCCCTCAGCCAAGCACGCCTTCCGGCGTCACCAAACCACTTCTCTCTAACCCAGCTGCCGAGTGTTGTCGGGCTCTTGGGTAGAACTTTGTCACTGTCTTCCAGATACTTCGTAAAAATATTGTGGGTGCGTTGGTGGGTCGCCTGACGAAACGTCAGGTCAAGCTCGACAGCCCAGTCGGTGAAGTCGTTCTTGAACTGCAGGTCGTTGAAAACCAAGCGACGACCCCCGAGGTATGACGTGAGATTTGTTGCGCCCTTGGCCATGCTGAAGGGATTGCATTCCGCCGGTTTGTAGCCGAATTCTTGCAGCCTGTGCTGATGTTTTAGATGGTATATATAATATAATGCTGGTCGTACTCTCGCCCGCAAAGAGCGCAGCGTTGTGATGGCCACTAACGTGACAGTATTTGCAGAGCCAGTATTTGTTGTCTCCGTCCGTTGTGAGCTGTGCGCCGTGTCTGTAGACTGCTGAGGGTTGGGATTTGGCGTTGATGGCTCGCTTATGAGGCTGTCGATATCGGATGGATGGAACCGACTTCCCATCATAACGGATCTTGTCCCACTCGACGGGGAAATTGCATTGAGAAGCCTTCGCCGCCTCTCTTTCCTGTGGGAGGGTTGCGTGAGGAGCGCTATGGAATGGCACACCGGCTGCGGTTGAAGCGGAGCTTGGGGTTGAATCGATCGGTTCAGAGGGAGTCCTAGGCGGTGTGACCTTTCCAAGTCTTCCCGAGGCGGAAACATTGGATTTGAAAGCCATCATTAACTGCTTACTGCCATTTAGGCTGTGCAAGACTGCCTGGCAACGAAGAACATTGGACAAAGTGATCAGGGCGCGTCCGTCTCTCGGGAGGTCAACAGGAAAAGGGGGGATTGGCGGTGACTTGCCTAAATCGGAAATGTCATCGAGCAACCTCAAGTAACCCCGAGTAAGCGAAATGGTCTTGCTTTGCTTGGTTGACGCTTCCCTTTACATTACTTGGCTGTTACGTAATCAACCAATCCCAACCAACCAAGTCAAGTAACTTGGTTATTGGACACACTGTCCGGGTCATCCGACTTCAGCACCTCCACTCGGTCTGCCTCGTACGTTGCCTGCACTCGTTCGTCCCACGGCGCCAGTGCGAACTCGTGGATGACTTCCAGGCGCTTGGTATCTATTCTTCCCATCGCCGAGGCGAGCTTCTGCATTGGCGACGTAGTGGGTGAGACAAAGCGAATCCCCTTAAAGTGGGGGCGGGCACGAGTAGTGCGATAGAAGCCCTCCTGAAACGTGTCGAGGAACGGGTGGAAAAGGCCGTCGCGGCGTCGCCGTGGTGGAATTTGAAAATGAGATCCGTGGCCAGAGCAGCCGACCATGAGCTGCGGCCCCACCGGAATCAAGCCCTGCCCAGCTGAACGGAGGCACACCTCCACCTCCCTGTCTTCTAGAATATCTCTTCGCCGCCTCCACTCCACGTGTTTCAAATTTTGTCTTCAGGCGTGTCACTATTTCTGTCGAGAAGTACCCTGTCGCATCCACCTTTGAGGGCCCGCAGCACCGGGCTCGATTGGCTTGAATTGAGAGTGTGTAAAAGTCTGTTCTATGAAGGTAACAACAGAGAGCTCGCCTGATCGTGGCGGTCATAAGGAAGACAACGAGAGATCTTGAGAAAGGTGGAGAGAAGGAGAGGCGTGAGCGCAGTGCGGATGCGACTGAGGAAGTATGCGTGAGCACGCTCCCCCCCTTCGTCTCCCTCGCCTAATCATCGCTACTCGAACTCTGTCAGAGGATCGCCGAGGCTTCTTGGACTTGCAGCCCTTGAACAATAGACTTGGTCCGCCGCGGCGCGCTTGTGTGATGCGATGTAATGTTATAAATGTAGAGTGCTCGCATCCCTTTGCGCTCCTGTTCCCCCATCTCCATCATCGATATCCGACCCTCGCTGCCCTCCTGAATCCGTCTCATACTACGCTTGTCGCCTGTGTATCATTCGTACAGAGAGCATACATACTTATTCGTACACTCATACATCCTGCCGTACATACATAACATATCCCGCGTCGGTCAAAGCTGCACACCCTCTTGTCCAGCCAGCCTTGCGTCTTGTCAACGACGCGGCCTCTTGGACGACGTACATAGGCGAACATATCTACATCAAAATCTTACTGGTCACTTCTTCATACACGCACTCAGACCACCCGCGCGCTCGCATAAAACACCATCCGTCCGGCCAAACGGCCAAGGCTGCCCTGCAAAGTGGATCAAGGCGGGAAGACGGAAAAGCGAGACGGCTTGTCGAGACGTTGATCTGCAATTGGCCCTACATTCTGCGTTGCTACGTCAAAAGTCTCCCGCATTGTCACCCGCCGCTACCCCCCCCCCCTTGCCCACGCCTGGGGACATCCCATCAACCACCCTCCTGGGGCCATCTGTCTATCCATACACACATTTACACATAGACAGACGACATCACCTTGCTTTGTAACGGAGAGAACGCTTTGACTATTCCCCTAACCCCAGTCCACCAACCCCCCCTGGCCAACCACCCCTCCCCGACACACCGGTTATCCGTTCCGTCCCGCAAGGGCCGTCGTCTGCCCTGAACATCTAGAACACATATATATAACCAGCTTCTCGCCGCCTCTCCTCCGAGGATGTTGTCTATTCGCCCTCAAGAGATCCAGCACCACCACCAGTACCGCCAGGCCATACCGTCCCCCTTCTCTGCTGCTTCCCCTTTCATCCACAGTAACACACCCACGCACACGATGCCTCACCGGGTGTCCGTCTCTCCCGTCCTCAGCCGCCCCGTGCTGGGCAGCTCGAGTCCGCGGCCATCCAAGAGCCCCCAGGATGCGGCAGTCGCGCAGGCTCTCGAGATTGCACGGGAGGGCCCCGACGGCGCCTCGGACCGGACGGTTAGCAAGATCCTCGAGCGTGCGCTCGCCCACGCGTGGGGCAAGGTCCAGGCTCAGCCTGAGTCGTACGTCATGACGAGGGATGAGTTTGCCGTCTTCAACTTCTTCCAGCACCGGTTCACGGGGGACAGGGTGGCCGTTACCGCGCGGAAGCGATACTGGGATAACGCTCATGCGTACCATACCCCACCCCCCTTTCGGTAACACCCCCCTTTCGGTAGTACAAATGAAAAAGTCCCCACCAAAAGTCTACCATTTGAACTACATAAAATATCACCAGAACTTAAGAATAAAAACACGAAGATTATATCATTCTATAGAGAAATGAACGCCCCTATCTATTCCGGCGCTATTTTACCACTCTCGCGCATCTAGTGGTGACAGAAAGGGCCTAAGGTGTCGCCTTGACTTCCGTCACTGAAGCTGACTCCACCTCTGAGACCTCCTCCTTCTCGGTCTCAGAATTCAGCACAACGGGCATTTTTTGACTTCTACTTTGTGGAATGGCTTCCTGAGCCACCAAAGCTTTACTGAGAGTCATGAACCGTCTGCTCGGGTTCGGAATTGCTCTCCTCTTCTTGCTTCTCTGCAGCCGGGCCACTTCTGCCTCCAGCTTCGCCATTCTGTTGCTGTGCTCAGCAACCGTTTGTTATTGGGCTTCAAAGCCTTCTTGCTATCACAGCGTAATGCCTCCGAGTGTTAGGAGTCTTGTCCTTTCCGAAATCGCGAATCTGGTGGCTGGATCTTGGGTGTATCATCAGGAGCCAAAAGTGGCGCAGAATTTGTAGATGTCTCTACCGTATCTGCATGAATTTCTGCATGCCGCAATGCCTTAGATCGTGAAATTCGCCAATTACCAGTGACCGTCTAGCCGGAAAAAAAAGTTCTTTGCAGTCATTCTGACTTCACGTGCTTTGGCATATGCCCGTATAAAATTGACCTTATCAATAGGCGCAGAATCCGTCAGACAGGTTAATTTCTTAGGTTCTTTCCTCTACGCCGTCTTGATAGTGTTAAGAGTATATTTATCCAACGGCTTGAGGTCATGAGAGCAGTGGGAAGGAAGGTAACAGCAGTAGGCATTGTTCAAAACGCACGTGGCCATCTATGTATCCTGGTCCCGGTCAATAGTGATTTCTAGGCAGATAAATACGGAAACGCACCATTTTATGGCTTTCATATCCATCAAATATGATCAACCTACCATCTGACTGATCAGCAGGCCGCATCTCAGGAAATAGACTCTCTCAAGCTACTCAATAGCGATAGGTTATCCGTCCATTAGTTGGGCGAGGTAATGCAATACCAGTCGGCTATTTTGCCGAATTCCGTCACGAAACAATGTTTCTGGAGTTCTTTGCCCTCGAAAGTGATGCCAGGAGTAAGGGCACGGTCGTTCACGGTGATGGCTTCGATAAATAAGGCCTGGGAGCAGGGCTGTGGTCCTTTCAGAAGGGCCTTCTCTTTTGGGTCTGTAATCTCAAGTGGCGGTTCTTGTATTTCTTTCGGCCTTGGCGTTGCTGCTCGGCAAGCTTGGTATTGTACAGATCGACCATCGTTTGCTTTAACTCGTGGCCTTGGGAGATTGCACCTTTAACGTAGCGTTGAAGGTTATGTACGAAGACCTCCTTCTCAATATCATCAATTGGGTCAAACTCAAGGAGACGTTGGCCAACTGATTCAAACTTCCGTACGGTATGGGGGTACCAAAGGGGATGAATACGGCTCTGCAGGTAGCTCTGTCGGCGGCGTCTGGTCCCGTACCCTCTCTTTGAGTCTCTCGAGGATTGGCTTTGGATTGAATGGGTGGATTCCTGTTTTTGAATGCCGAGAGGATTGTAGACTCCTTGAAGGCTTTGACGCGGATTGATTGGATCATAGCGAGGAACTCCAGCTTGGTGATTTTACTCGCACCACTGCGAATAGCAAAATCGACTGCCCGACTGTGGTAATGCCTTGAGGAACGAAAGGCTCTTCTGGACGGGAAAAAAACCCAAAACTACTTCACCCTCGAAAATCTTGGCTCCTGATTGGAGAACCTTTCTTGCCTGCTGATTGGACAGGTAAGGCAACCCCGCACGGGTTGCGCAATAGGCCTTTCGGAACGAAGACGGAAGACTGGGTTAGATGTGAGAGATTGAAGAAGTCAGAGGGTGAGAGCAGAGGGTGAGAAAGAAAGAAGGCAGGCGGTAGCGTCAGGGACTAAAGCATGCAGGAAGGCATGTCCAGGCAGTAGTAAGCGGCGATTTATACCTAGCCTGGGACGTTGTCCCTGCAGCGGGAATAGGCAGAAAAGGCAACAAAGCAAGCAAAGCAGCGATGATAGGTGCGGGGTAAGCGAGGGAAAAGGCTACAAGATAAGCATAAAAGAAGGGGGTAGTTAAATAACCACCTCCTCCCACTAATCTGCCACCCCAAAGTGGGTCAATGTGGCGCACCTTTGAGGTAAAGGTGGCGTAACGCCAAAACCTCCTTGGCACACAGGAGACCGGCCCCTTCCAGGGCCCGCCAATGCCTTGAGGAACGGAACTGGAGTTGGGCGGGGGTTGCAGGGGAGAAGGCATGTCTAGGGTTACCACTAAGTTGGCCGCCTAAGTTACTCCCTAAGGCGGCCCGCCGAGGGCCCAGCCAAGAGGTAAATTTATCTTCGGCCGTTGTCAGGCGGTCGGTCGTCAGGCTTCTGTAAACCCGTTCAAGTCTCTCAAAAGAGCCCTTTGCCACGCGAACCATGCTGATACGGCGGTTGGAGGATCGGAGGAGGATGTTGAAGACCAAGAAACAGAAGACGGGATGTGTGGCAAATCGACCCCCATGCCGTTGCAGTAAGTATCTGGCCCAGTAATTCAGCGAGTGATTTGAATGGTGCTTAACAGGGTCAGGGTCATGCTGTATATTATGGTCCGGCTCGCGTATGATGAGGGTTGGGAAATTAGAGCCGTCGGCATATCGCCAGTCGTCTATCTCCCCGTGGTCGATTATGACGTGCTCGTAGAGGGGATTATTCCTCTGGAGCCATGATAGGGCGGCCTTCACCCGAGATTTACGCACTTGAAGGAGATGTCCAACATCTGCGGTGCCAGGTTTGCTGGAGCCGCTCCAGGAGATGTGAATGTTTTCGATGGTCTGCAGCAGGGGATGAGGTAGAACCGTAGCCACGAGGTCCTCCACCTTATTTGGAAACACGACAATATGACCCTTTACGTGTTTGCGGTAATTGATACCCGAAGGGGTCTTGCTGTCGACATTGAACTTTGTGATGAGGCCGAAAGGGGCCTGGAGAGCGATCAGCCTTTCTTCCAGGGGGGAGAGGCCGTCGAGCTCTACGGGGTACCGATGCTCGCACCCGATGTACATGTTATTGACAGAACATGCCTTGGGCAGTTTTCCATTTCCGAAGCAGGAGCGGCACTCGTGGCAAACATTAACCCCAGCGTTGCTACTTAGTGGGAGGCACGTCCTGCAGTCCTGAAGAGGCTTCGTGGCCTGCATCAACGAGGGTGTGAAATACCTTCTCCACTGAAGAGCAGCGAGTTCACATGGTGGGCACTTAGTATAGCAAAAGGCGCAATGTGAAATTGGTAATGTCTGTTCATCTGTAAACACCTGGTAGAACGACTTGGAAGCCTCTACCTGGAGCGCAAGTGGAACCTCTTTGCACCAGGATCTTGTTGCTGATGCCTGCTCCTTGTCGTGAAAGCAAGCTTCGTGATGATGTACAATAGAGTTGATAGACCCTCGTTGGAGTGGGACTGTTTCCGGCATCGGCCGCGGCCTCGGCGACTGGGTTGGAAGCGCTTCCTGTTCTCTACGGCGTTTTAACGATAAAGCCCTTCGACGGGCCCGGTCTTCGGCTTCCTCGCGGTCCAGACGCTGCAACGTGCGGAGGATCTCGTCATGAGGGACTCTGACCAGCTCTTGCCGGCGTTGGATTGCTCTCTGAGGCATGGTCACAAGTGGATAAGGATGTGATGAAGAGGGAAGGGAAAAGGCAAGAAACGATTCATGATTTTCTCGGGTGGGCGGGATTGGGCAGTGGCCCCACCACCCGGCTACCCCATCCGGGTAGGACCTAGGATCAACAAAGGCCCAAGTTATCTATCCACTCACTTTCATTAACTGTACACCCAAAAAGTGGATTAACTGTGGCTGACGGCCGAAGAGGGCCGATACCGCCAATTTGTATGCACACATTCTCTACGATAAGTAGAGCCAGGTAGTAACAGTTCTCCTTCAACGATAAGGCACCCAAAATTGAAGCTATTCGTACTGCGCTTTCTATGCTGATGAGACTATTCTTTGGTGTTTACAACAGGCCTCCTTCTTCGAGTGCACTACGTGCCTGATCCGCTTCATCTAACTGTGATTCCAATTGATCCCATACATCCTCAAGGGCGGCATCGTCCGTGAGGCCAGCGACGAAGATGCAGTCTTGGGTCTCCCGCCGTACCGGCTGATCGTCATCATCAGAGACTGGCGTTTGACGCCCGGCTTGTTGATACGCCCGTTGCATCCGTGTGCCTGCCTCGTACGTATCGCCGTTTTCCTCGATGTGCCGCAGCCCTCGTTCCGTTGAAGTCATCGCGGCCGTTACCGTACCCGTCATCGCCGCTGGTGCCGTTGAGGAGGAGGCAGTCGTATAGCCTCAGCCCGCTCATGCCGTTCAGCGATCTCGTGATGTGACGGATCCCGCCGCGTTGATCTTGACCGCCGTGACTCTTCGAGGTTGAGTGAGCCCTTGGGGCGGCCCTTAGCCCTGATAACTTGTGGCTCGTATGGTGCCCGAGTAGGGCTTGTGCCCTGAGCGCTTGTATCGATCGGAATATACCAAAATGGGTCGAAGTCGTCGAGTGTAAGGGAGGTATTGGTGTTGATAGACTCGAAGATTCGATGGCAGCACGGTAGCCCTCGACTAGTAGCCCAATTACAAGGACATTGACCTGGCGGCGGTTTGGCCCGTTGACTTCGGGGTCTAGAGGATCTTGCGATGCTCATCTATTAGTAGCTTTAACGCATATGACGATACTCGCTCGCGGATCGGCATATACGGCGCCTGTAGGGAGAACGTTGATATCTTGTGGAGGTTTCGATTCTCTATCGCTGTGATCTGAGCAGCCTGATGGCCCCAGAAGCGTTCGAATCGTTGGAAAACGGTCGTCAAATCGCCCGTACAGGACCAAAGGAACTTCTTCATATGAGTGAAGTCCCTCGACGATCGAGGTCGTTGTACGCCCGAAGTGGCGATATTGATTAACGAAACAAGATACAAACTTCTCCTTCCAAGGCGTTAGCCACGTATTGCAACAGTATTGTATAGCTGCAAGCGGGTGGCGGCCTGGTGTCTCAAATTGGCGTAAACGTTCGTTGAAGCTATTCACATCTTGTGACTTGACGATCTCGTTCCACTCTTGTAGAAACGCTTGGAATGCCGGGGCCCGTACGACTCGATTGCCGATTTTTGATGCCTTAGGGAAAAATTGCTTGCATTTCGCAACGACATTCTGGTTAATATGCCACGTGCAGAGAAGGTTAGTACTGTTTTGAAGCTCGCGAAAGCTATCTAACGCCTTAAGCAACGCAGTATCTCGGTCCGTGACAGTGACCCTTGAAATGGGATCGACTCCTTCTCGCAAAGGACTAGCAGCAACGAGATAGCCCAATAGTAATGGGACTCGGTCTCGCCGTTCAAGAAGATAGAGGCAATAGAGAACGTTTTGTTATCTCGAGTGGCCGCGCAGATATTCAATAACGGCATATTGAATCGGTTCGTCTTGTAGGTACAGTCGAGGACGAGGACATCGTGATGCTGACGCCATCGATGGAAGGTAGCACGAGGCGCGAGAAATAGCCCAGTTAGCCGGCCCTGGGGATCACGACTATCTCGATGAAAGAAGTCGGACTTATCTAGCCGGTCGTAGAGAAACTGAAGAGGCGTACGGCCAGCTAGTTCTTCCTGACGGTGCCTAGCCAAGGCGTTACTCACGTCTTGAGCCGTGATACCGGCTAAACGAGGATCGTCGTGAACCAGGTCACGAAGCTCGCCAGCAATATCGGTCGGCCGGGTATTGTTATTAAACTTCCGGATAATGTCGTCGCGATACTTCTGGATAACAAGCGCCCGGTACTTCGGAAAGACCATCGGGTCATCAACAAGGCGATGATTGTGAACATCGTGAAGATAAGAGATAGTCCAGTAACCGCGTTTTTCCTTCAACGAGAGGCGAAATTCACAGTCTGTTTTCTGGGTTGCTGTATTGAGGCGACGACGAGAGATATGAGCAGCTTTATCCTTCCGATTTTCGTAGGGGCCGGCCTTGATACAACGAACAAGTGCAGACTTGCGTTGGCCAGCGTTATCCCGCTTCGATGTTCGAATGTGTAGGGCGTAGCCCTCAGCCTCAGCAACGGTATCGGCGGCTTCCATCGCGGCCTGGAAGGTCGGGAATAGTGTCTTCGTAAGCGACTCCATGATTCGGGCTCGTAAGGGCAGAAAACGCGGTGCGAATAGCTTCAGTTTTGATGGTATTGCTGATAGTTACGGTTACAGGATGTTGTTACGCAAGCATCACGAACTGGCCAGCTGGCCGGCCGGGAATGGGCGCACCAAAATTAGCGGCATCGGCACTGCGCCTGACCCAGCCACAGTTGATCCACTTTTTGGTGTACAGTTAATAAAAGGAGGTGTATAGATAATTGGGCCCTATAAAGAGCGTCGGCGTCTCAAGCGTAATGGGCTTGTTTGCCAGCATCTGCTCTTCCTCCCAATCAATCTTGCGAGTTCTGTACCAGTTGAGAGGCCCCCGCATCCGCGGAGCTTCTTGAAGCATGAACTGGTCCGCATAGTAGCTCAATTCGTCCTCCGAAAGCCAGACACTTCGCGAGAGGGTAGGCAGCTTCTTGAGGGGAAACGCCGTTGGTTGCATGCCAAGCTGGCTCACCCTGTGGGTCAAGACCGTCGTACATGGCGTTCAGAAACTGACGCACATCTTCTCGTTCCCGAATGGCGACTTCAATCTCGGGCCCTATGAACTGAAGCATATAGGTGAGATGCTTATACGGTCCGGCCACCAGATCCTCAATGGCCATGTAAGGCTTCATGGGTAGCAAGAAGGGCGTACAGACGCTGAAGATGGCCTTGACCAAGCCGGGGTGCCACATGGCAACCCGCCAAGCAAGGTGACTGCCCCAGTCGTGACCGCCGAGAATGATCTGCTCGCCCTTCGCAATTCGGTTGGCCAATTCTTCGAGATCCGCCGACATGCTTTGCAGTGACAACTGGTGTAGGTCGTCCGGCCTAGAGCTGCCAGCATAACCAAGCATGTCCGGAGCTACGACTCGATAGCCTAGACACATGAGGTATGGCACCTGATAACGCCAGCCAAACCCCAAATCGGGAAGCCGTGGATCAAAAAGACAGTGCTAATAGGGGCATGGACCCGGGTTCGCCGATTATGTAGTGGTAGGTGTTGCCGTGGATCTCGGCCGAGGCGTATCGGACTCGAGGGTCGTTGGGAATAAGCTTGCCGGCTCCTTTGAGGTGGTCGCAATCATTATCCTCCATTCGGCGCGGTGGCAGCGAGGCAGATCCTGCTAGTGGCTTGGACTGCTCGTCAGGGACTCGGCGTACAAAATCAAGATGCGATATGATGGAACCTACAGGTTCATGTGATTCCCGCATTGAAAACGGAGCCAAAGCTCCAACAGAAGCAATAAGAGCCGCGAGTAGGATAGTAGTCTTCATGGTTCCTGGCTTGTACGCGATATGCTTTAAGATAATAGGAGGTGAAAATTCAAGTGTCGATGATGGTAAAGCCCTACTTCAGCCCTGTGCTATTGAAGACCAATCAGTCTCTTTATACGGCGTTCTAGAGGGCATACTGACTTTAGCTATTAATAAGACCTTACTATTTACATAGATAAAATTCTCTACTTATATATAATTATATAGAACACCTAAACTTAAAGTACCTTAATATTACTTCAAGGTACTGCATATACTTTGCCTACCTCCCTCACCTACTAAGAAGGCCTAGATTACGAACAAGCGCACTCGAGCACCCGAGCTAGTAGGGGACGGGTCCCCCTTGGAGAGGGGCCCTACTGTGGGGGTTTATCTCCCGCACGAGGTGAGTGCGACGTGTAAGATCGCGACTTTTAAGGGACTTAAAAGATATACGAAGTTAAGTATTAATTACTAAGCGGATCTAGCTACTAATTAAAAGAGAGGATTTTAAGAAATTCTATATAAATAGAGAATTTTATCTATGCAAATAGTAAGACTTATTGATAATGACTTTAAGCCTTAAGAACCTATCTCCTATATACTTACATTTCATCTCATGAGGTTCATCACCACGTACGATCACTGAGTTCTGCCCACTTCATGTTTAACATATAAGCAGCCTGGCTGAAGTCAGCGCTCCTAATAGTGTGGACCATTAAGAGGACTATTAGTGCACACTGTGGTTTACACTATTAGTGCCGCACTATTAGTGTAGTGTGCGTTTCTCACACCACACTGGTGGTTCAGTGTAGCTTGCCCAAACTGAACGGGTAGTTCAGTGCAAGGGTCCAGACTAATAGTTGCACTATTAGTGCGCCCCATGATTACCAGCAACCCGGATTTTACTACCTTGAAATAGGGTTTCGGATTGATTTCAACGAAAAACATGTATAACCTGTAAGACGAAGTGCGTATTATCCAAGTGGCGGAACCCCGGTCGGGAGTTATGATATACCCGTTATGTCACCGTATAAAGGCGGGGTGCCAGGTAGCCTCTAACCTATCTGTCATCTCTAGGGTAGGAGGCAGGCTGGCTCGTCAATATTTATGCGAAGCAGTTGAGATGCCAATACATTCGCTTCTTTCCGTTGTAATTAAGCATACTGGTAAGCGTCTAAACACAAGCTTTGCTAAGAGCTTCCGCCTGTTATTGACTTTATTATGCTATCAAAACATGTTGCTAAGTTATCGTTTCTGGTCGAGAAAACCCATTATACCGGATGTTGCCCTGCCAATTTGTTCAAGTTTGTCAGTCGGGTTACAGTCCAAAGCGCAGATTGAGCCTCGGCCACACTTCTACGGCCCCAGCTACACCAATCATTAGCTTCATAGGTCGATGCACCGCAAGCCTTCTGATGCTCTTCTCGTCGAGGCTCAACTGAGGATCTCCACCGCCGTTGCGTACGCAAATTGGATGCCGACGTTAGGAACACTGGGGCGTGTCGCTTGGCTGGCACGAGATGAGCGCGAGACGAGCGCGAAGCGAGCACGTACGGAACAATTCGCGACGATGTAAAGTTTCGTCGTGCGCCGACGCTAAAGGGATATGACCGATCATTGGCCGGCAAACTCAAATTAATTGGATTCTGTGGTCCAAACCAAATCACTAGGACTTCCTAGGGTGGTCAAAAAGAGGAAGTTGTCCACCACAGAATGATCTGACCGGAGCTGCCACAAACAATCCGGTTTATCCCACCAATCCTGCTCTCCGCCAGATTCCCATGATCGCCACTCTTATGGTCTAGTGCATTCCCTAGAGGATCATGTCCTCCATCGTGGATCACTCCGAGGCTGGCACCTATATAGATGATTCTGACCTTATTAGTGGGACAGCGGCTTCCCCGTCACCGGCACCATCCTCTTCGCCTGTCCTTAGCGTCTACCGCCGAAAGACGTCTCCTATTTGGCAGTATTGTCGAAGAGAAGAAGGTAGGAGTATTCCGGCAGCTTGGGTTGATTCCAATGGAACGAAATGGTGGCATTGCCAGCCCTGCTTCGACAAGAAAAGAGCGAAGAAATACAATTACTGTGGTGGGTCGTCCGCCATCGTCAATCATTTGCGAAAGGAGCACAATATCATTATTTCTGGGCGGCAGGAGACCAGGCGGGAAGTGACGCAAAGTCGCCTCGGAGACATCACCGCATTCCTGGCCAATGGAACTTTGGTCTCCACCAAGAAACGCAAGGCGACCGCAGAGGTAGATGCCTAGACCAAGCGACTCTCCGCGAACTGTACTGCCGTTATACAGTAGCCTGCAGCCTCTCATTTGCTCATGTTGAGCAGCCGGCCTTTCGCGACTTTATCCGGTATATCCGTCCGGCCGCCGATGATCTCCTCCGAGGTCCGGCGACACGGTTAAAAATGACTTACAATGGGGCTACGACAACAAAAAGGAGTTTGTAAAGCGAGCTCTGCAGAATGCTCTCTCGTCAATCCACATTGTTCCAGACAATTGGACATCGCCGAATTGTTTGGGCGTAATAGGGTTTACAGTTCAATTCGTTACCGAAGATCATGGTCTGCAGTCCCTGGTGGTGAGGATAAAAGAATTGGAAGGACAGCACAGCGGCGAGAACATGGCAGAAGCCATCATGGAGTTCATACGAGAATATGGAATAGCGACAAAAGTTGGATACTTTATGATGGATAATGCCACCAACATGAATACCATGATCGACAAAGTCTCCGACGACTTGGAGCACGAGTTCGAAGTTTTCTACGATCCTCTTCCTCACCGACTTCGCTGTTTCGGCCACATCATTAACCTGGCCGTGATGGAGTTCCTCATAGGAAAGCGACCACCCACAGCAGATTCCTACCACGGACCGTCCGACGACGAAGTTAAGCAATGGAGAAAGCGAGGGGCGATAGGCAAATTGCATAATATCGTGGTCTACATCACCTGGACTCCCAGCGACTTCAGACATTCACTGGTCTCACTGACGGTCTACGGCTACGGCGCGACAATGACACTCGTTGGAATTCGTGGCATAGCATGGTTGAGTGGGCCCTTAGAACAAAAGTCCGTCAAGGCATCACCATATTTTGTGCTCAAGAGCCTGCCCTGCAAGACGATGCTCTGACTTCCTCTGACTGGGTTACTCTGGCTGAAATTCACAAATTTCTCGAACCTTTTCACGACGCTACAATGGCCAACGAAGGCACCGGCAATTCCATCTCTGACGTTCTGCCAACCATGGACTATCTCTTGCATCACATTGAAGCGGCCAAGGAGGCCACTACCATCCCCCACTTGGCTACAATGATGGAGACGACATGGGCCAAATTAGCCGACTACTACGAATTGACGGAAGATTCGCCAGTCTATTCAGCAGCGACGGTATTAAATCCTTCCCTCAAGTGGGCATATATGGAGAAGACTTGGGACGACAAGAATGAATGGATTGAGAGAGCTAAAGCTCGGGTAGGGGAGCTCTGGAGGGAGGCATACAAATCTACCACTCCCTGCCCTGTTCTTCGACCAGCTTCCGCACAAGAGCCAAGTGCAAGACGACCAAATGGGTACAAAATGTGGATGAAAGAGCAAAGGCTACGATTTTCAACATGGATGACGACGAGTACGAAGTGTATTGCCGCGAGCCTGTGGTGATGGTATCGGATCCGTTGAAATGGTGGTTAGAGTCAGCGCAGCGGCGACGGTTCCCAACTTATCTTTGATGGCCATTGACCTTCTATCGATTGCGCCTATGTCTACTGAGACAGAGCGGCTCTTCTCCAAAGCCAAACTTTCGGTAACCGACCAGCGAGGATCTATGAACATTGAAACTTTAAATCTCTTGGAATGCCTACGATCCTGGGACCGGAGCGCTCTGATACTCCCATCCGAGGTAAGATTTCTGTTTCGTCAGATGAAGATTGTCTAATTATGGATTCCAGTGTCGCTATATCGATCCGGAAGCCACCGGTACCGGGTCTGAGCCTCTGATTCAGGAAAGGGGCGAGGCTGCAGGTAAGGCAGGCAATTCGGTGAGGGCGCTGGAAAACTTGAAGGCAACCTTGCAGGTGCGACGGGTGCAATGCCAAATGTCAGACTATATGTTCACACTAATAGTGTAGACCACAGTTTGCACTGTAGTTCAGTTTGGCCGTGACGAACAGACTAATAGTTCAGTTTGAACATCTCAGGCACACTGGTAGTGTAGTGCGGCCAAGTCACACGCACTGAATGAGCAGTTTGAGGGGTCCAAACGCACTGGCCACACTATTAGGAGCATTGGCTGAAGTGGGCCATCGAAAGCTTTAAGATTTTGAATAAACTTATACAGTCTCATTGCTCCCCATTCTGCTGATAATCGGTCGGGCCGATGTCAAAATCCGCTGAGGTAGCCTTGCCGTTCAAACGGGATCTCTAATTACGGCTGCGCTCTCCATAGGTTCCACGGTTTTGCAATGCTGTGGGCCAGCAGCCTCCAAGAAGTTTCCCCATACGGCTTCTCGCAAAGGCGTCGTCCCATCTTTTACGTAATTACCCCCCTTGCTTGCATGGAGACATAACTACACGGGACGCACAAGAGGCAACTCGCGTCAATTGGTGTCGAGTAAGGCTTGGTGTCGCACTGTGTTCGCCCGAACAGACAGGAATCCGGGTTTGACTGGAGACGCGAGAAAAGCTAAGCAATGACCAACTTAACCGACTTCGGTGTGGAGCAGTACATAAAGTCGATGGTGAATAAACCACTAAAGATGGCGAATATCTTTGCCCTACGTCAAAGGGGACTTCTGCAGATCGTGAGCTGAGCGATAACGGTATCCAGATGTTCCGGGCTCCTCGGGCGGCGGGTAGATGGATAGCCCGAGGCTCGACTTCTTCGCGAGTGGCTGTGTTGGACAAAATTTGTCTAAGAACAATCAAAGTAAGACTTTTCCTACTTTTCATGACTTTAAAGTCGACCTTGTCCTTGTCGTGAACTCCCCTCTCCATACACAAGGTCTAATTTGCCTTTGACATCTGATATCGGTCCCCGGCGCTCCATCGCAAGAAGCTTTATTCATACGTAGCACCTTCGGGGAAGTACGGAGATGCAGACGAAGAGACGACGTTTATACAGAGTAGGTTAAAGCAAGGGACTCGTTCTCGTGCTGTAAACGACATTGCGTTTCTGTTATAGTTCCACGACTTTTATCAGGCCTCAGTGAATACGTAGACCTCCTCGACCCATCTCTCGCCCAGAACCTCTCTGATGGACTTGACTCCCACAATTGCTTCAAGATTCCGCGCAAAGTCATCCGCCGCCTCTTTCGACGCACAAACAAAGACGCTTGCTCCCTCGTCTCGAATCTTATTCCGTATCTGGTTCGCAACCCCCTCTTTGAATATCTTATCCTGAGCTCGGTTCTTTTCCGGGTTGCTCGGCGTCAAGTGTAGCATATCCACCAGCTCCAGTGCCAAGGCTTCGTGGGTGGACTCGGCAACGATGTCGGCGTCGCCGGGCCTGAAGCCAAGGAACAAGGATATCGAATCCTCTCGGCTCGTCTTTCCCATCTTTAACTCCATCATTTTGCTCGCGGCTGGCCGATCGGCCGCAATGGCGGACCTGGCCTGCAAAAGACCCCGCAAGGGTGCGATGCCGGAGCCGGTGGTGAAGGCAATCAGGGGCTTATGATCGTTAACCAAGTGCGCGCCGGGCCCGTGGCGAATCCGAACGAAGAGTCGTTCTCCCCTCCTGGCCTTGGACAATGCTCCTAATAGTGTGGCCAGTGCGTTTGGACCCCTCAAACTGCTCATTCAGTGCGTGTGACTTGGCCGCACTACACTACCAGTGTGCCTGAGATGTTCAAACTGAACTATTAGTCTGTTCGTCACGGCCAAACTGAACTACAGTGCAAACTGTGGTCTACACTATTAGTGTGAACATATAGTCTGACATTTGGCATTGCACCCGTCGCACCTGCAAGGTTGCCTTCAAGTTTTCCAGCGCCCTCACCGAATTGCCTGCCTTACCTGCAGCTTTCCTCGCCCCTTTCCTGAATCAGAGGCTCAGACCCGGTACCGGTGGCTTCCGGATCGATATAGCGACACTGGAATCCATAATTAGACAATCTTCATCTGACGAAACAGAAATCTTACCTCGGATGGGAGTATCAGAGCGCTCCGGTCCCAGGATCGTAGGCATTCCAAGAGATTTAAAGTTTCAATGTTCATAGATCCTCGCTGGTCGGTTACCGAAAGTTTGGCTTTGGAGAAGAGCCGCTCTGTCTCAGTAGACATAGGCGCAATCGATAGAAGGTCAATGGCCATCAAAGATAAGTTAGGGAACCGTCGCCGCTGCGCTGACTCTAACCACCATTTCAACGGATCCGATACCATCACCACAGGCTCGCGGCAATACACTTCGTACTCGTCGTCATCCATGTTGAAAATCGTAGCCTTTGCTCTTTCATCCACATTTTGTACCCATTTGGTCGTCTTGCACTTGGCTCTTGTGCGGAAGCTGGTCGAAGAACAGGGCAGGAGTGGTAGATTTGTATGCCTCCTCCAGAGCTCCCTACCCGAGCTTTAGCTCTCTCAATCCATTCATTCTTGTCGTCCCAAGTCTTCTCCATATATGCCCACTTGAGGGAAGGATTTAATACCGTCGCTGCTGAATAGACTGGCGAATCTTCCGTCAATTCGTAGTAGTCGGCTAATTTGGCCCATGTCGTCTCCATCATTGTAGCCAAGTGGGGGATGGTAGTGGCCTCCTTGGCCGCTTCAATGTGATGCAAGAGATAGTCCATGGTTGGCAGAACGTCAGAGATGGAATTGCCGGTGCCTTCGTTGGCCATTGTAGCGTCGTGAAAAGGTTCGAGAAATTTGTGAATTTCAGCCAGAGTAACCAGTCAGAGGAAGTCAGAGCATCGTCTTGCAGGGCAGGCTCTTGAGCACAAAATATGGTGATGCCTTGACGGACTTTTGTTCTAAGGGCCCACTCAACCATGCTATGCCACGAATTCCAACGAGTGTCATTGTCGCGCCGTAGCCGTAGACCGTCAGTGAGACCAGTGAATGTCTGAAGTCGCTGGGAGTCCAGGTGATGTAGACCACGATATTATGCAATTTGCCTATCGCCCCTCGCTTTCTCCATTGCTTAACTTCGTCGTCGGACGGTCCGTGGTAGGAATCTGCTGTGGGTGGTCGCTTTCCTATGAGGAACTCCATCACGGCCAGGTTAATGATGTGGCCGAAACAGCGAAGTCGGTGAGGAAGAGGATCGTAGAAAACTTCGAACTCGTGCTCCAAGTCGTCGGAGACTTTGTCGATCATGGTATTCATGTTGGTGGCATTATCCATCATAAAGTATCCAACTTTTGTCGCTATTCCATATTCTCGTATGAACTCCATGATGGCTTCTGCCATGTTCTCGCCGCTGTGCTGTCCTTCCAATTCTTTTATCCTCACCACCAGGGACTGCAGACCATGATCTTCGGTAACGAATTGAACTGTAAACCCTATTACGCCCAAACAATTCGGCGATGTCCAATTGTCTGGAACAATGTGGATTGACGAGAGAGCATTCTGCAGAGCTCGCTTTACAAACTCCTTTTTGTTGTCGTAGCCCCATTGTAAGTCATTTTTAACCGTGTCGCCGGACCTCGGGAGGAGATCATCGGCGGCCGGACGGATATACCGGATAAAGTCGCGAAAGGCCGGCTGCTCAACATGAGCAAATGAGAGGCTGCAGGCTACTGTATAACGGCAGTACAGTTCGCGGAGAGTCGCTTGGTCTAGGGCATCTACCTCTGCGGTCGCCTTGCGTTTCTTGGTGGAGACCAAAGTTCCATTGGCCAGGAATGCGGTGATGTCTCCGAGGCGACTTTGCGTCACTTCCCGCCTGGTCTCCTGCCGCCCAGAAATAATGATATTGTGCTCCTTTCGCAAATGATTGACGATGGCGGACGACCCACCACAGTAATTGTATTTCTTCGCTCTTTTCTTGTCGAAGCAGGGCTGGCAATGCCACCATTTCGTTCCATTGGAATCAACCCAAGCTGCCGGAATACTCCTACCTTCTTCTCTTCGACAATACTGCCAAATAGGAGACGTCTTTCGGCGGTAGACGCTAAGGACAGGCGAAGAGGATGGTGCCGGTGACGGGAACGCCGCTGTCCCACTAAAAAGGTCAAAATCATCTATATAGGTGCCAGCCTCGGGTGATCCACGATGGAGGACATGATCCTCTAGGGAATGCACTAGACCATAAGAGTGGCGATCATGGGAATCTGGCGGAGAGCAGGATTGGTGGGATAAACCGGATTGTTTGTGGCAGCTCCGGTCAGATCATTCTGTGGTGGACAACTTCCTCTTTTGACCACCCTAGGAAGTCCTAGTGATTTGGTTTGGACCACAGAATCCAATTAATTTGAGTTTGCCGGCCAATGATCGGTCATATCCCTTTAGCGTCGGCGCACGACGAAACTTTACATCGTCGCGAATTGTTCCGTACGTGCTCGCTTCGCGCTCGTCTCGCGCTCATCTCGTGCCAGCCAAGCGACACGCCCCAGTGTTCCTAACGTCGGCATCCAATTTGCGTACGCAACGGCGGTGGAGATCCTCAGTTGAGCCTCGACGAGAAGAGCATCAGAAGGCTTGCGGTGCATCGACCTATGAAGCTAATGATTGGTGTAGCTGGGGCCGTAGAAGTGTGGCCGAGGCTCAATCTGCGCTTTGGACTGTAACCCGACTGACAAACTTGAACAAATTGGCAGGGCAACATCCGGTATAATGGGTTTTCTCGACCAGAAACGATAACTTAGCAACATGTTTTGATAGCATAATAAAGTCAATAACAGGCGGAAGCTCTTAGCAAAGCTTGTGTTTAGACGCTTACCAGTATGCTTAATTACAACGGAAAGAAGCGAATGTATTGGCATCTCAACTGCTTCGCATAAATATTGACGAGCCAGCCTGCCTCCTACCCTAGAGATGACAGATAGGTTAGAGGCTACCTGGCACCCGCCTTTATACGGTGACATAACGGGTATATCATAACTCCCGACCGGGGTTCCGCCACTTGGATAATACGCACTTCGTCTTACAGGTTATACATGTTTTTCGTTGAAATCAATCCGAAACCCTATTTCAAGGTAGTAAAATCCGGGTTGCTGGTAATCATGGGGCGCACTAATAGTGCAACTATTAGTCTGGACCCTTGCACTGAACTACCCGTTCAGTTTGGGCAAGCTACACTGAACCACCAGTGTGGTGTGAGAAACGCACACTACACTAATAGTGCGGCACTAATAGTGTAAACCACAGTGTGCACTAATAGTCCTCTTAATGGTCCACACTATTAGGAGCGCTGCCAAACAGTGGCAAGCAAGCCAAATGCTCTGTCAGCAAGCGTTTAACCATTTGATCACTGGAGAAGACGTTCGTCGTACAGATCAGAACACTGTTCCCGCCTACCAATTTTTCATTGAAGATCGCTACTCCAAGGACAAATTTTAAGGCATCATGATTGACACAGGTGCAACAAAAGTCTCTACAGCCGGTCACTCTCAGTACATTGCTTTACAACGAGAAGACCCCCCTGTAGCCCTAGACAGCCCCACATCCGGCCAGGCTACCATCAAATTCGGCAACGGCGAAGCCATTCACTCAATCGGCTCAATCGCCCCCAAAACACCCGTCAGAAGGATGACGTTCCACATCCTTCAGACCCCTACCCCTTTCTTGCTTTCTTTGGCTGATACGGACCGTCTTGGTAACTATTTCGACAATATCAGTAGGATATCCACAGCGGGGTTTTGGTGGCTGATTCAGCGGCTGAGCGCCACAACACCGCAGTTTAGCGTCCGTGCCCTCAGCGGCTTCCAATATCCACCCTTGTCCACGGTCGGCCGGACGGCCGACCGCCGCCCGGAACGCCGCGTCTTGAAGGGCTCTCAAGGCTCGACGAGCTCGTCAAATTACGAGGGGAAGGGGAAACAAAAATAGTGTATTTCTACCTCTTTAGTTGTACAACTTTTGCCTTTCTGTTGGCTCGGGCTGTTTGCAAAATAAGTCCAGCGAGCAGCCGGTTTGCTGCTGTTGTAAGTTGACAATGTGCATCGCGGCCTCCTCGCTACACCTGTGGGCCTTCGCCACCTTGCGAATCTCCCTTATAACCTCGAGCCGTAACGAATACCACTGCAATTCATTTTGTCGCCCGGCGCGCCACCGGCTTCCCCATCTACCGTCGAGGTCGGCAATGGCTTGCCCGCCTCGAAGGCCAACCGTCCACTCGCTCCAGAGCGCCTCGACCATTTTTACTGCTCGGCACATCTGATACCGTGGCGGTGGCTCTGTCTTAACCGTGATCGTATCTGTCGCCGTCGGGCTCGTGGCACGGCTATCAACAATGCTCGACTGAGCCGAGACGAATCGGCTTCCATCTCCTCGTCCTCCCTGCCCAACGACATCAACCACGGCCGGGGCCGTGGTGGCAGTGGTGGTCGTCGCGGCCGTAACGGAAGTTGAAACCATTCTAAAAAGGGACGACTGGGCTACCGCAAGACGTTCTTCGGTGGCTCGAAGCTGCTCGCTTAGCTCTGTTTTAAGCTGGATCGTCCTTGCTTCGTTCCGCGCGTCGATGGATTTAAGATAGTCCGCGAGGACCGGCATCGCCTGGACTAGGACTGCAAGCTGGCTTGGACGCTCCTCTTCAAGGATGAAGTCCGATAGCTGGTGCGCGAACGGGGCGTAGGCCGGATGCCGGAAGACCGGGTGGTTCCAAACGGGGCTGCCGGGGTATTTCTTCATCAGGACAACGGAATCCTGCAAGACAACCTCCCGTAAATAGAAGATGAGGTTCGTCGAACCCATCGCTGCCAGGTCGTTCTCCTGCTCGGTACCGGGACCGAACCGGCCTCGCCAACGGTCCAGCTCGGGCCAGATCATCGAGCAGGACCTCCGGCGGCGTCACGCCGGCACGGCGTATCTCGAAGCATCCGGCCTGCGGCGGGTGCCCGGCCATCGTACGCATGAACTTGCGAGGCAACGAGTTCAGGTAACAGCCGACCATCTGCTCCTGGTTCCAACGACCCGCGCGACGGATCTGGTCTTCGCTAATCCCCTTTAGTTCAGCCGTCCTCGCCCCCGAGCTGCGGCCGACATGCGTCTTCTTCTGCGACGTGACGCCGGCGTAGGCGAAGGCCTTGACAACCCACTCGCGCTGTGAGTTGTACGAGAAAGCCGCCGTCCGGCCGGTGCCGTTACCCTTGATTAGCCGGATGCCGTACCACGAGGACCGCCTGCTGAAATCGGGAAACGGCTCACTACCGAGATCCCAACGATACAAGAGGTAGAACGAGAGGCCACCCAAGATGCAGATTAGCGGGTTCCTATTCCGATACGCGCCGGCGGTCTCGAGGCGGCCGTGCTGGTTCTGCTTGCCGGCTCGTGTCGTAAAGATGAGCGGCATGCACCGGGTCGAGCCCTCCCCGGCAAACTCAAAGGTGAATAGGTCTGAGATCTCTGCAGCCCGACGATCGCTGCCACGGGTGAGAAGATAATGGCCAAAGAGGAGATCCACGAGGGTCCGAAAATGACACTCGGGCGATGTGCCGCTGTGGGCCCACAGCTCGTGGCATACTCGTTCGAACTCGGACTCCGAGTAACCATCGAGCAGAGTATCGCGGCCTTTATCGGCATAGTTCTCCCTGTCTCGTTGGGCGTCCCGGCGCTGTAGGGACTTGAGGTACTCTCGTACGTTGTCCTCGCGCGGCGACGGGTGCGTATTCATTCCGAGGGCCTTCTGCGTCCGGTAAAGATCCGTGATTGCGGTGACATAAGTTCGGACCGACCGCCAGGCCAGGCGGGTCTCGTCCTGCGGAGTATCAGTGGCGGCCTTGCGGCTCCTGACCTTCAAGGGCCGACCGGCCACCTCCTCGACGAGGAAGAGGAGGAGCTTCTCCTCTGTGACCGTAGCGCCGTCACAGTACTGTTTGTGGCGGCAGAATTGCTCGAATTCCTCTTGCTTCGGTGCGTACGCCGAGGTCGTATTCCTTGGCCGAGACTCGTGGATCGCAGAGAGGATCGTCTGCGCATTGGCGCGTAGCTCCGCGTCGTTTATCGCGTTCTGCCGGATGCGTTGGTCCACTCGTACGCTCGACGGCTTTGCGCGACTCCCTGCCCCTGCCCCTGCCCCGGCCGCTGCTCCTGCGAGCTTCGGCTTGGGCCCCGCTTTGTCTTCGCCTTCCGTCGATTTGGCGTCCGGGCCATGGGATATATCGTGACGGGGAAGACCAAGGCAAGCCTGCGAGTGACCACCAGTCCGGGTTGGAGCGGGGTGGCGCGCGGCGACGAGAGATGCCTATCTAGCGATCACGATGCGCACCGCCTGGTCGGGTCGCCCGCTAAAATTCCAGTGGACAGGGCGCCGTAGCGAACGTGAATAGCGGCTTCTCCATCGAATCAGCGACGCAATCAGCGGGGGGCACCGATATCTGCGTATATCCACGGCGCGCGCCGTTCGGGTGGGGTGGATATCCGCAGATACGATTGGCCCGCCTGGTCGCTGATTCTCGGATTGCCCCACCCGACCAGATCAGCGGCGCTCAGCAAACCCTCGGATACCATCCCAGGCACACGACAGAGAGACAACTGCAGAGTGTCATGCCGCGACGGCACCAGGTGCGCATGGCCTGCCAGCGCTGCCGGAGGAAGCGGGCCAAGGTGAGTGCTGATGCGTTTGGATTTGGTGGCAAGCAGAACAGAGTCTGTGCCCATGTTCGCCTGACGCACTGCAGGATCCCAGTATCTTGAGGAACCCTGCGGCAGGCAGGCTCCAGTCCCTAACTCCTTCACGCTGCGTAGGTAATTTCCCGCGGTGTGCTTTTGTGCTGACCGGTGTCCAACGTAGTGTGATGGCGAGGATCCGTGCGAACGATGCCAAAGGGCCGGCCATGACTGTTTTTATCACAAGTCCGGTCGGGTGTCCAAGGGTGCGCTGTACGCCGAAATCGAGCGGCTGCGGCGCGCAATTGAGCAGAAAGGCGCACTGCTGGACGCCATGTCCTCCAGAGATGATGCCGACACTTACCACATGGTGGCCGAGGGGCTGAAGGACGGCACGATCACCCGTCAGGACATCTTCCAAAAACTAACCGACAAGTCCAATACTGCTAGCGTCACCTCGTCGCCGCGTCGCTACTCAGAGTCAGCCCCCTCACCTGGGGTTTCTGGCGCCGAGCGTTTCCCCATGACCTGTCCCCATTGCCACGGCCCACTCCATGTCGCAAACTCTTTACTTGGAAACATCGGCGCATCTGCCCGGCTGAACAGCGACTGGAACTCCTCAGCCGACGCGCAATCTGATGGTGACGCCGTTACGACACTCCTTTCCATACCCAGCTCGCCCTCTTCGGTACCCTCGCTTGCTTCGTCTGGCGTCGCTGCCGCTGCCGCCACCCGCGAGCCAAGGTCATTGGCGCAGCGCATAGACGTCTGGACGCGCACCGGGTGGACGGCCGCGCTCGTGCTCAAGAGCCTGGGGTTGCTCCTTACATGGGACTACCTGCCGCTCTGCCTTCTCTGCAAGGATCCCTTCCTGCGGGACTTTGCAGCAGGTACCGGCCGGTATTGCTCCTCGGCACTCGTCAACGCGCTGCTTGCGTTGGCGACGCGCATCGTGAACGAGCAGCAGCATCAGCATCACCTCCACTATCACCGGCGGGACTCACGTCTAGCGGCGGGTTCAAGCGTCGCGTCGCCTTCTTCACCGCCATCAGTAACGGCGCAGGATTGGACAGATAGCCAGGCCTTTTGGAACGAGGCCGAGACTCTCCTCAGGAGTAATGAGCAAAAACAAACTAGCCTCCCGGACGTGCAGGCCCTGGGCATAATGGCCCTCTATCAGGTCAGCTCCGGGCGGGAGTCCGAGTCACGGGAGCTGGCCGAGGCATTTGCCGCCGCCGCGACAGACTTGTGCTTACAAGCGCCCGTTGTTGCGGACGACCATGGAGAGTATGAAAAAGTGCGCGCAACGACGTATTGCGGTGCCATATCGCTCGTTAGGTATGACCTTCCGCCTCGTGGCTAGCTCTAGACTAATTAGATCGTAGGATACTGAAGATCACGACGGCGCAACGCCCTAGTCCGCACGCCGCGATGCTGCAAGACGATGGCGTCACCCTCGACCAGCCGCCACGCACCGCAGGGCCAGACGACATTGAAGCTCCCTCAAAGAGCAAGGCGCTTCGGTTGAACTGTGAGTTCGGCACCGCATTGGAACATGAGGCATGGTGGCGTACGAGCCCACCTCAGAACGCCGAGTCAGTCGCCGACGGACATAGATTGCAGCTCAGCAGTCTGCAGATTATCCCAGCCAGGATCTTCCAACTCACCGAGTGGGTGTATAAGCTGCTCGCCTTACAGGATAGTGCTAGTGGCGAGCAGGTCGTGTCTGTCTATCGCCAGTGTTTAAATTGGTATGAGAACTTTTTCGCGCTACTCAAGCCGGACGCGAGCAATTCGCCCTTCATACTCTTTATCCAGTAAGTCTTTAGGGCGAACTACTATTTTCTCTGTCCGCTCTCTCGCTTTAGGCTTTAGGTCGGAATCTGACGTTCCGCAGTATTTACTATCAGTTCTGTCTACTCTCCCTGTTCCGGCGCTTCAATAGCTTTGGCCTCGAGGCCATCAACGTCTATCCCCGTGAGATCTGCCTGCAGGCCGCGCAGTCCATTCTCGCGCTGACGCAGTCGTACGCCAACCTTTACGGCTTGTGGCGCGCGTCCCCGCTGGTGCCGTACTTTGTCTACGCTTCGGGCCTGCTGAGCGTCGCCATCGAAGAGGCCGGCCACAGTATCACAGTGACCGTGCCTGTGGCGAACCTTGACAGTAACGGCGTCCTCTCGGATGCCTCGCCCTTGGCGGTTGAGTTCCAGGAAGCTGTGGTCAAGATAGAATCAGATGGCGACAACATGGACGTCGATAACGGCCACCGGCTCGCATCCTCCTTATCCGCCTTATTGCTAGAGCGGCAACGGCACCAGAAACAACAAGAGATGCGGGCGCCGACGCACATGAACATGCCTGCCGTCTTGCACGCACGACTTCTGCTGGAAGAGATGGGCGCGCTGTATCCCGTTGCCACTGCTGCCGCGGACATGCTCCGTCGGGCATCGGGCATACCTGATGACTTGCCGCATGCACGCATCGAGCCGTAGTCAGCCGTTCAAAACTAGACTGGACAGACCACGGCCGACGGTAGCATTTGAAGTTATTGAGGTCCCAGAACAGATCGAGGATCTGCGATCCGAAAGACCATCCGTTCTGCCTCCGCTACATGCATGGGCCTCGGCGCCCTTTGCAGCGCTATGCAGTTCCCTAAAATATACTTTGGTTGGGGAACGGGGCGATTAATGAGCAAAGCCGGAAAATTTGGCTAGTCAAATGGTGGTTGGAGAGGGCTGCAGTGGGATTTGTCACTGCCAGTACGGGCGACTGTCGCGGTGCGAGGTGTGAGCCCCGCAATTTAGTCACAAAGCCATCATCGTACGTGCGAACATTGAGAACGTTGTCATAGTTTGTTTGGTTCAGAAGCCGCGTTCGTATTTGACATCAGTTCTTTGCTCTGCCTACGAATGCATGTCGTACGCCTGGGCACAGGGTTACCTAGCCAACATGAAGACGGGCAACATGGTTTCTGGAAGGTCACTGTATTATTCAATCCCTTGATGACATTGCGTGGCGTCTCGTTGGGCATTGTAAGGTTTAGTCGAGGCCCAAGGCTGTTAATTCAAGCGTCTTGAGCCGACACCAGGTCGCTGCGTATATGGAGTGCATACATTCATCAGTCCATAACGCGGACACTGCAGTGGGATCGACGGATGCCCTTGACTGCCATCGATCCGTTTCCGCCGACCAAGCGATCAGCTCATTCCATCGATCATCGCATCGTGCGCTCAGCAAGCCTCTCATCGGCTCCTTGACAAAGGCTTGGAGGCATTAAGAGTCACGCAGTGCCGCTTCTTCTATGGAGTCCCAGCAAGTCGCCCAGCTCAATTCCTGCCGTTTCAGTATCCCAAAACCACATCTCGTCGTCCACCAGTGTCCGTCCACGGAAGGGCACGACAAATCCGAGTGGCGCGCCTTCCAGCTTCGGTCGTACGACCTCGATGTCGTCCAAGAACGGCGCAACATCAGGGGGTAGCTGCACGCCCATGTGGTTTGCCACGGCAGCGAGTCCCTCGAGCAGGAGGCCCGAGAGCGGAAAGTCCGTCGCCTCGTGTATTATTTGGCAGCTACGAGAAAATGTCTCTACCACTGCAGGGGAGTTGCCATCCAGGAGGTCGATCAGCATGATGGTACACGTGTAAGCGAAGTAAAGAGCGGCCAGGGAGCCTTGACGATCGGAAGGGTACCGCGCAAAATGTCGTTGAACATGCTTGATGATGCCCTGACAGTGGCGTATGCAAATGTCTGTAGGGCTTTCCCACGGAAGCGGATGCGCCTTCACGCGTCGAATCAGTCGGGTTATGTGAGCCGCGACTAAATGGTGATAGGCCCTGGATCGTCTCAACTCGCTATACGCAACCAGCTAAAACACGGAACCCACTTACCATAGGTGGCAGTGCTCGCGCTCATGCATTCCCTCGTATCCGTCCTCCTCAGGGTAGCTGGATGTTAGCTCCTGCAGGCCTTGGTAGAGTTGAGCAAGTCGCGAGATTGAGGTGTCGACTTTCTCGTTACCGCTAAGTAGCCTCGCTTGACTGAAAACCTTGTTGAGCACATCCGATAAGTCACAGGCGTGTTTCATCGGCAGGAAATCTTTGCGCCCATGAGCGAAGGGTGTAGAGGATGGCCCACTCGCAACATCTCCTATTTCGACATGTTGCAGTTGCTCAGAAGCAGCGATCGTCAGAGGCAAGTCAGGGGTTGAAAACAGCGACGGACGTAGATAGGCGGTTGAACAAATACTTCGCCACAGTCAGCTCTAGAATGCGACGCGACAAGCGAGCAGGTAGTGGGTTTCAAGCAGACCTGTCAAAGCAGAAAACACCCCAAATGGCTCGCGAAATGGCTCGGCGGGACCGAGCCGGATAGTCGCTGTTTGACAGCACAGCTTTTATTCTAGGCATCATTCGCTCCATCATCTCGTACCCTGAGGCGCGAAATATGTTACCGACGCGATCTCGTCCCATGCGACACGAGTACGAAAACATGATGAGGAGGGCTTGCACCGCAGGGATCGAAGGCCGCCCGTTCTCAAAGTTGACAAGTCGTTTTGCCTCGGTGAAGAACGAGTCGCCAAGGCCACTCCCAGAAGAACGGTCTCTTTCCGTGGACATTGCGCCATGGCCCTGATTGGCAGTTGTTAGCATGCCCTCTAACATGGTGACAGGCAGCACAAGTTACCGCAGCAAGGGCACATATGGCGTTGACGAGTAGCGCAGAGCAGAAGGGTCTGTGTTGTGGTCGCTCAGGCGGTTCCTGCATGTCCCTCAGAAAAACATCCCGATCGATAAAGGGCATGAGGAACCACTGGTCCCTCTCAAAGAAGATATCAACGAGACTCCGTACGGTGTCTCTGTCGGCAATAGCCGTCCAGGAGCTGGCTACGCAAGGCACTGCACTCCCGGGATACGGAGCAGTGACTTCGTGTGGCCCAGCGACGGCAGCACTACCGTCCCCACGCACGGGCCTGCTGAGGAGTAAATCGCCGGCCCGGACCAAGCGGGCAACTTCCAGCGGATCAGATGTTTCTCTTATGCGCCTTAGTATCTCGATCGCCTCCTCCCACGGCCTCGACTGCAGATGGCCATAGAGCTCGCGGATCTGCTCCTCGCCCTCTCTCCTGGACGCCGCACGGGTTTGGTTGGGCTCGATATCGTACTCGCAAACTAGACCTTTGCTGTCGCACCGGGAGCAGACGGGTCGATCACCGTTGCACTAGCATTGTACGTCTTAACATAACTTGCGGCCGGGAAAGGGCTGGAGTGGCATTCAACCTTTGACTTGGCTTTCTGGCACGCCGAGCATGCGACCGGAACCGCGGAGCGGCGTTTCGGCGGCTCTGTAGAAACCGCAGGATTTCTAGGTTCCCGATAGGATGGCGCTGGCAACAAGGGGCGGAACCGAGACGTCATGGCCGTCGCATCGTGGCTCTGCCGCCCACAAGGTGCACTGCACTATCTCCAGATGACGTCTCGGAGAACACCACCAGCGGCCTGGACGCGCGGGGCTGGCAAATGGCGGAAAAAATATGCCCCATCAGCCGAAGCTGGTTGTCGGTGGTTTGCGCTGCAGCAGTTCACAGCAGCTCTGTGCCGGCCATCAGCGGTAGCCTTGCAGTTTCGTGCCCTATGCTCTAAGAAGCGGAACACCTCCAAGACTGTCAACCTTGTCGCCGACCTGCCGTGCGCTCCGGCTCGCCGGATTTCGCATCGCGCAAAGACAACTGGCCACAGCTAGCGAGGCTGACAATGTGCGGCGAGGTCGCGACAGCTTGGCGCGAGGCCCAAGCCTCAGACCACCCTGACGCCACAGGCGTTCCAGTGGCTAAACACCAGCTTGGGTCTGCCCGCCGCCCTCGCGATGGCCGGAGCGTTTCATCCGGTACTTCGTTGTGAACTTGAAGCACTGCGGGCTTTCATTTGCTCGGTGGGGCACGAGAGGTGCGCTGCCGGACGCGTATTGGTCCGTTCCGCAGAACCACCACTTGGATCGTCGCCATGTTGCCAAACTCGCGCTCTCCCTGAACATAACTTCGGGGAGGTTTTGCAACACAGCCTGCTGGCTGGTAGATGTCTGTTATAGTCCCGTCCTTGCGCCGACTCTCCCGGTTGCTGGTGCGTGACACCAAGCAAAGGACAACAACGGCGTGTGCGGAGCTTTCGCTGGCTCTTAGTTGTCGATACCGGACGAACCTCACGCTGCGGCAGCTCGCGGGTCGAAATATGATATGCATACCCAGCTGTCGGAGTGGGATGCAAGTTGAGGACGTCGCCAGCTCGAAAATGCCACGGCCATGAGCCTCTGGCCACGATAGCCGAGTGCCGCGCTCAAAGAAAAGGCTACCAGAGCAGATGGGCACGTCAGCTCGCAGTCCGGCAATATGAGCTGGCTTGCCTCGTAGCAACATGTTGCTGGAATCGTCGCAAGTACGCACATCCGTCTCTGCCCATGTTTTCCCCCCTATATTTCGGACGGACACCGGGACAACCGCGGACTAAGCCATGCTCAGTAGTGATGCTTTCCTAGGTCCAGGACATATCAGCTCTGGCCTGGGCAGGCGTCAGCTCTCATCAGTTTGCCCAGCGTTGACCATGAGCTAATTGCGAGGTGTCACAGTGTCGACCGTCGCTGCTGGCCGCTTGGTCTATCGTTGCCGGTTTGTGCAGTGAGTCGAACAGGCCGCGCAACCCCGTCGTCCGTCGACCGTCGTGCTCGGAGAGTCGTAAGGTCGAATAATCTCTACAGCAAGCATTTGCTAACTATGACGGACGACAAGGCCCGTTTATGTTGACGGCGAGTGCTTCCAACTAGTTGGATTCGACCGTGAACCCGTCGCAGACATCCTAGAAAGGTTTGTTCAGGCTGCTCTCGTTTTCCACTGGCGATTGGAGCAAAAAGCTCGATTGTTCTGTCGCGGAAAGCCATGGCAGGCGACAGTCGCATCTGCCCTAGTGCAACGTTAGCGATCAGGTACTGGCTGAAGATGAAGCTGGCCAAATGACGGCGCGGATCTGAGAGCATGCTCACTATGAGGCAGCGGTATAACAACCTATGGTTTGCAATGTCGAGGCTTCTGTGCCAAAAAGGAGGCGGCTTGCCATCCAAAAGTGAGCAAGGATCAGCGACGCAAATGCGGGCAAATGTTGCAGTTGGGTACTACTGCCCGTATCCTCGACTGGGGGAACTTTGGCTAACGATGGGAACTAGCCTTGCTTGCAGGAGGTTAGCGAGCAAGGAACAAGCAGCTCTGCAAGGCCGACGACACGGCACTCTGGACACGCGGTACCCGCACCGAGAGACTTGGTCAGTTGGGTTCTCCGTGGGCTGGAGAGGTAAACCAGAGTCGCGAGACGGGGAGTACGGCGAGCCGGTGGTCCTTAAGGCACTGTGTGGTAGGGTGCGCGTTGATTGGCTGGACGAGGCGGAGTTGGCTTCCGTTAGATCCGCTCACTCTGATTGGCCGCCTTTGATGAGCAGGGCAGCCACGATCACTGACGACACTCTAGGCTCTCTCCATCATCGAGGTGACAAAAGTCGGTACCAGAAGAAACTCAAGCGCCACGCTCGGTTACGCAATCCAACCAGACCGACAAGGCACGCACCCTTTCAAGGCTTTGGCGGCCAAAGCTGCAGCCTGGATGGTGGGTGTGTTTTCAAGGTTGTGGCTGCGCGCTGTACGCCTGGACGGCCCGGGTCTGCCACTGCAAACCAATAGACGCAATCTTGTGTTACCAAGCTGGTCACCTCTTACCTCACCTGGCGAGGCGCATCGATAACAGAGGCATGCGGCCATGCAAAAAAGGTATCGACACATCCTGCCTGTGCCCAACTCCCCGGGGACAGCGGCCGCCGGGGGTTCGGCCCAGGCCGAGCCGACCAAGCGCAAGCGCTCTTCGACGGTCATGGCCTGCAACAGTTGTCGGGCCAAAAAGTCGGCCGTATGTCATATCGCCACCGTCGTATCATTGGGGATCCGGTGGATGCTGACTTTTTGCTTGCAGTGTGACGGCGTCCGCCCTGCCTGCGCGGCGTGCGCTGCGCGAGGCAAGACTTGCACCTATATGTCCGCAATCCCGGAGACGCCTTCGATGCTCAAGAAGCGCGAGCTTGAGGCCCTGCGGGAAGACCATACCAGGTTGTCCGGGCTAATTAACGTCCTGAGAACAGTGCCCGAGGGCTGGGCCTTGGATATCCTCAGAAAGCTGCGTCGCACCACGGCGGATCTCGCAGCCCTGTTGCCCTCTGACAGGAACAGACCCTTTGTCGAGGCCCTGCCGCGTCAAGTGCTGGCCCGTCTCCCGACACAAGGCGGCCTGGAGTTCGAGTTGATGATCCGCCACCCCGTCGCCTACCCCACGCTGGCACCCTTGGATGCCGCTGGCGTAGGTGCCACATCCTTGCTCACGTGTGCCGTCGCCAGCACCCTCGCCGATGAGCTCAGGTACGAGTATTGAGGCCCATCTAGGCAGACAGACGTACTGTATCTGTCTTGCTTGCTCGAAGCTCGTGACGTTGATGCTTTTACGCAGTTCGGACCTAGCGGCTACCGCGTCCTTGTCGACTTCCGGCCCTCACCAACGCTCGGCACGCGGGCAGGGCCAGGGCCAGCGATCTGCTCCAGCATCACGCACGATACTTTGCGATACCCGGTTGGAGCTATTGGATATCAGCTCCTGGAGCCAGGTTGTAGTCACGAGCGAGCGAGCCGCCGCAGTGATCTCGCTCTACCTAGAGACAGACCATCCGACGCTCGGTTTTTTTGATGCGGACTTGTTCTTGGCCGACTTGGTCAGCATCCGAATCCGCTACTGCTCCCCACTTCTTGTTTCTGCTGTCCTCTCATGGGCTTGTGTAAGTTCGGACAGACCTCCATCGTAGCGTGGCTGCGGATCTCTAACGGCACATGATCAGCTCGCCTACTGCACGTTTAACCCTGAGGCAGCTCAGTTGGGCGAAGCATTCTTTGCAGAGGCAGACGACTTGTGGCAACTCGATCAAGCTTCTGATTCGCTACCCACTGTTGCCGCCGCGCAGCTTCTCGGCCTTGTGGCTATTTATAAAGGCCGCGATGCTGGTAACCCTTATTATAGCCTGGGAACCCAGATGGCCAAACGAATGGGCCTTTTTGGTCTCCCAGACTCCGCCCTCTTCGCGCGCTCCCCTATCCACGGGAAAGAGTCGGATACTTTAGCAAGGGCGAGGTCACACACGGCATGGGGCGTCTTCAACTGGGTGATGTAATGCTTCGAGGCCCAAGTATTCAACGCCCACCTAGTAACATGCATTTAGTATGCGGTCCCTCTTATTTCAAGTGGAAGAGCCAGCGGCGAAATATCCACCGAGTGCCCATCCACCCGGTGAGCCCACGCCATTTCGCCTCGCTCACTTCACTGCGAGTACCACTGAGTCAGCGCCATTGCCTTCCTATATGGGACAGACGTTCCCCAACATGTGCGACTTCTGGCGGCTCACCAGCGAGTGGACGACAGTTTACTACGTTTCGGGAAATGCTCCCATTCTCGGCCGTGTCTCCTTGGGATACGCACACGAGACGTTCCGTAAACTCCTTGCATGGTCTGCTGGGATCGACACGATGCTAGCTCGAGGTGACAAAAGCTCTCACCATTGCATCATCCTCCAGTACGTACATACAGGACACTGCATCGCCGGGTACGAAGCTGACATTCGCGATAGCATCTGGTTCCATACTTCCATACTCCAGCTGTTCCGGCCGTTCATGCAACAACTCAAACCGCTCGTCAAGCCCCCCCACACAGCGCCTGACGCTTTTCCGACTACTGTATTTGCGGCATCTCTGAATCAGCTGAAGCATCTCGCACTTGTGTTCCGCTACACGTTTGCCTGTGCAATGTACGCCGCGTTCTGGCATGTTGCCCTGATGTACATTGCCAACGCCGTTATACAAGACACAGAAGACCCGCAGTGGCGGGGCTACTTGATGCTCTGCTTAGATGGATATGGTGACCTGTTCGGCGCCTTCCCCGTTGCAGGCGCCATAGCCAAGAGTCTTCTGTCCATGGCGCTTCGACTGAGCGTCGTCACATCCTCCGAAGCAAGAGTCCTCATGGCCGGGATATATGAGAAAGGAGCTCATCATCCCTCTACTGAACAAATTAGCGCAAGTTTCGTCGTTGACCTCGACCTTGCTGTCACCGACCGCGCAGCCGCAGAGCTGGCAAACTTGAACAACAGCTTTGATGATTTGGTCATGTTTCAGGAGTTTACGCAGCTCGAACCCAACACAGGAGCCGATAGGAACCCTCAACACTGAGGGACTGAGCATGCCATGGCCGCCGAGACTGAGGAGCAATGGCGACAGTCCCAGTCAACCTTTCAGCGACGGATACATTCTGCGGCTCCGGCATGGCAAATTCAAGCTTGTTCGACGAAGAAGTTGACAAGCAATTGTTACTTACCTGGGCTGTGCAAATGAAGGGTATCGAAGGACCAAAGGGCGGTTGCTCTCGCTGCAATAAACTAATCTGGCTTCGTGCATGATACTCCAGTATTGACAAGTTGCAGAAGGTTCTTCGCCAAGGGAGGGCCAGATTGATCTCGCGGAGTGGCCTCAGAGCTCCGTCAGTGTGTAGAGGCTTGAGTGCCTAAGGAGGGCCGAAGAAGCCTGTGACACTCCCACTCGATTAGAGGCTGAGCAGTGTGGTGCTTCTAATCGGACTTGACGCCTAGAGAGTCCCGGAAACGTGTTACGATCAAGGCCGATATGGATAACCAGAAGGGACTTGGAAGAATAGTTAATTATCGACTTCTTAAGGAAGAAGGGAAGAGGAAGAGGAACTGAAGAAAAGGAGGAAGCGGTCTATATACGTAACGGTATGTGGAAGTGGATACCGTAAGGTATGTGGAGGTGGATACCGTAACAAAACGGAGGAAGGCATCTCGTGGCAGGGCCTTGGTGAGCCCATCAGCAGGCTGCTTGGTGCCTTCGATCTTGATAAGGCTGACGGTCCCTTCTGCAACCTTCTCTCGGACGAAGTGCCACTTAAGAGAGATATGCTTAGTGCGAGAGTGGTGCTGAGGGTTGTTGGCCAGATCTATAGCGCCCTTGTTGTCCTCGTGTATGGCTGTTGGCCCAGCCTGTGGGTGGCTTAGGTCCTTCGTTATGGAACGCAGCCAGATGGCCTCCTGGGCTGACTGGGTCAGAGCCACGTATTCGGCCTCTGTGGATGAGAGCGTGACACAGGGCTGCCTCTTGGAGGTCCAGCTGATGGCTGCGGAGCCGAGGCTGTAGAAGAAGCCTGACGTCGATCGTCGGGTCTCGCAAAGGTTAAAAAAAGAAGGTAAGAGTCAATCTTGTTCATTGTCGTCTATCTAAAATGAATGTGAGAAGTTCTGTCTTCTTATAGTCGTGTGGCTGCCTTGAGGTGGCGATGTCGCCACCTAGGCTGCTTAGGTGACGTTATCTAGAAGGTTCGATGACACCGCTTAACAATCGCGCATTTCACCCAACATACGTATCCTGAATGCGACATCGGGTGTGCAGGTCCGCCGCGAAGTCTGCGTCAGTGTAGCCTTGGATCGGCTGCAGTGGTCCCTCTAAGACTAGCACATAGTCGATGGTGCCCTTAAGATATCCTGCAACTCCGTTGCTAAGTTTACCCAAGTCGCACCCGACCTTGTTCGTACACTTGTACCGTCACAGGAACCGGGGCCAGAGCAATCAACACATGAATTACAGACTATCAGATCATCTGAGAATCTACCCACGAAAAGTCCCTCTATTCACTCTTATGCCCACTTTTGATCTCTCCTTCGCGAGATCAGCTGAATAAATACCTCGCCTTCTTCCGACACTAAATAGCAGAATCAAGAGTCTTCCAGTCCCTGATCATTATGCCCACTCCGTGCGATAACTCTAGGACAGAGGGACGGTAGATGTTCGGACATAAGCCCCGGTCTCCCAGTTGTAAAACTGGGGAGCTCCGGGCGCAGGGGCCCTGCCGTTAAAGCATTTGCAGTCGCCAGAAAACTTCTTGACTGTCTTGTCGTACTGCTGGTAGATTCTGACATTCGTGCAATGTCCACCATCGAACGGGCCACCTTCAGCATCGGGCGTCTTGCAGTGTTCACGGCACTTGTCCAAGTACAGATCCTGCTCCTCGCTGGCGCCGCCGACCGTCCAGTGGCAGGGCGTACTCTTCATCTCGACCTGCCACTTTGCAACGCCGTCTGCCGGTAAAGCAGAAATGACAGGGGCGAGAAGCGCGGTGAGAGCCGTTATCTGCGTGAACTTCATGGTGTTGGTTCTGGGAGAATAAGATTGGGTAAGTGGTAAGAAGGAAGATAAGCTGAAGATAAAAACTTGAACGAACAGATGTTGCTTTGGGAGTAGTAGGTGAAGTTTTCTTGCTTTCTGTTTTACAGAGGGCGTGGCGGTCAGCAAACGGAAGTAGTGTTAGGACTGATTGATCATTCGCCGGGAAATCGCCTTTTATCAGTAATTTTTCACGGAAATGAAGTAAAAGCCTGACGAAAACTTGTTAGCTGATAATATAGGCGTTAATGCGATAATTGAGGCCAAGCTTCGTTTTGGAAGGATGGCTGGTCTTGGCAAAGTTGTGGCTAACGCAAGGAAGAAATTTGTCCTGATGATGCCGAGAAGAAGCCGAGGAGGAACGTATTTTAGATTCCTGCTGGCGGAACTGAGGGGACAAAGGGCAACGGGGCAGAGAAATTTCATGTTTTTATTCTTAAGTTCTGATCATATTTCTGTTGAGCAGAAGGTCCGAACGAGTTGAGGTCTCTAGGTCTCTATCCCCCCCAATGTGATAAGGCGGCAATACGGTCACTCGCAAGGATCATAGCCAATTAGAAGCCCTAATTCTGGCGATACATTAGCGGTCTGAGAAATAACGCTAGGATAGAAGTACCGAAGATTCCCACTATACACGCATTTTGGCGTGTACTCTCTTACCGAAGTCAGTGTGGGGCGAGTGACCGCCTGCCGCCTTATCACATTGTGGGGGATAGGTAATACAGCTTGAAACCAGGTACGGATAAGAAGGGAAGTCTGCAGACTGTTATTTCTTCTTCCTAGACCACTCAGGGGTCCGGAGGATCTCCTATTCGAACGGGGACCTTCTACGAAGTCCGGCATTGCCGAGGGTCAGGTAGCATAAGAGGGCAATTACCGAAGGAGATTGCAATTTAAAAGGGTTGATCCAGTGCATCACTTGTGGCTAGTGGGGCGACACCCTCCTACGTTCGTGACACATTGAACGAAGTCGTGTGGGACCCGCTTGAAGCCAAGTTTCGTGAGTGTGCTTGTTAACTCGCGGTGCCACAGCAGAGGAGACTTTCTTAACCCATAGAGAGCTTTCTGTAGCTGCAGGACGATGCCGCGCTTCTTATGTCCCGGTGGCATTTTCATGAACACCTGGTCATCGAGTTTAGCATTGGCGAACGCGTTGACCGCGTCGTATTGAATCAGCTCGAGGTCGAAGTGTCAAGATCAAGACGCTCATTCACGGTGCTGCCTAAAAGGCAGCAAGCAGTTCGTAATGCCATATTGGTGATGGATTCGAACCTTCTAGGTGACATCGTCATCTATGCTGCCTAGGTGGCGACATCGCCACTCAGCCCAAAATCCCAAGTATAAGAAGCCAACTTTTCACCATCACTTAGATAGAGAATCAAGAGTCTTTCGTTGCCCGATACACAGGGGATCTTCTTCCCGATCGTTGTTCAGTCATCCACACCAACCGTGCCCCTTGTTGTGTGACACGAAGCGTGCCGCGAATCACGGACCCAATGCCTGGTCAGCAGCGCACAGACGCTTAACCCCCATCCATCCAAGTAGACGGGGAGGCCCACCAAGTAGTAGAGGAAATACTATGCGCTAGGTGGAAGAGAATCGGCCGCGGCCGTAGGCGGGAAGTCTATCGCACGGAGGATGAGCAAGTGGGCATAAAGATCAGGGACTGGAAGACTCTTGATTCTGCTATCTAAGGTGGGAAAGAGGCGAGATCTTTATAGACTGCCTGAATATGAGAATGGAAGGGAATGGTAGTGAATGGAAGCATCTGATCAGATCATCTGGAAGCCACTGATGCGTTGATGATGCCTCCTAGAAGTTTCTGTGGGGAAATGTGGAAACGGACTGTGCGAATAGGGGGTCAGACTGTTGGAGGCTGTATCCTATGTGTGACAGCTGGTAAAGCCCGTTCCGTCTTAGCAACTAGCAGACTCGAGTATAGTAACCCATTCGCAATTTCCAGAATGCGTGGGTTGAGATAAACCTTGCCAGTCAGACCTGGAAGGGGCTGTTGCCGTTGCAATGGCAACCATTTGAACACGGGTCTCTTCCAAGTTATAGACATCCTCGTCAAGAATCCCCCACTTTTGTTTCATCGCCGCGAGTCGATCGTACCATTGTTGGATCTTTTGCGGGTCCTCGCATTTGGCACGTTGGTGGTCGTCGGCGAGAGTGCTGCGCCTTGATTTAGTCGTGATGGCCAACGAAATTCGCACCCAGTTCTCGCCGACAGGATCTTACCTCGCTCTAAAAGGATAGATTGGTCGTCCGGCGAGTGTAAGCTACCGTCGGCAGCATCCCTCACTCACCCATGACAAGATCTACTGTACAAGAGACGTCTCCTTCGATGCCTTCGCTATTCATCTGCATGTCGTGCCAGGGTAATACACCGCGCAGTCGATCATATATTGTTGATGGAAGGACGTCGTAAAATGCGCGATTGCGTCCTTTCGGATAGTTTCGAATTGAGTCTGTTGATAAGCCCTGACGACGCGGAGGAGCCGTTCTTTGCGTTGTTGTGACGCAAACATTGTGTTGTTGTCGAGAAGAAGGGTCTAAGACTTGGTCCTGAAGCCTGATAGCTAGCTGAAGGTGTAGGGACGAGACAGGATGAAAGTGGGATGACGTGGCAAGCTGACGCGGAGAGAGGGTGCCTATGCATTAGTAAGTCAGCAAGGAAGGAGATGGAAGACTGAAGAAGGGAGAGCAAGAGGCATAAATGGGAGAATGGTACAGCAGACAGGGAGAAGAAAGGCGGAGAACACATGCACCCTAAAAACATTATGCCTGTGGACAGGCTCTTCACTGCAGTGAGGTTATTCGAACTGGTTCAATTGGTTATATCTTGTGTAACTAGGGAAACGTGTCCCATACAAACTGTGTGCAAAGACCTTCCTCCCTGTGTCTCACCTCTTACTCGCACGTGACTAGCGCGGTCGATTAGTTATACGTGCGCGATCGGTGCCTAGTGCACAGGTGGATCCAACAATGCCCCTTGCCCTGCTCTCTTCGCGAGAGTTGTTGCATGCAGTACGGTGCGGTCGGTGGAGAATTTCTGTCCGAGTGGGGGTAGATTACGTCCGCCAGTGAGTCAGACAGCTCGGTTCCCTGGATTTCCACGGAATTCCATGACCTTCCATTTGCCCTCTGCTACATCATCAAAATTCTTGTTTTTTTACTGGTCCATCCTTTGTGTCACACGAGCGTCCGCCATCTTCGACGGCTTCATTGTCCCGCATCTGCAGCAATTTGCCTGCCAAACTCCATGGGAAACCGCAGTGTGGCAGGCTTCGATTTCCTGCCCGCACGTAGCTTAATAAAATACTTCGTCACGCCTTGCACTTTAGAGCAGTGGTGCAAGGCGTACAATCAGCCGAAGGCTGCAAGTCTGCTGTCAACGGTAAGGCAGGCCTGAAAATTCAAGAATCTACAGTCATGCATTCATTGCGTCATCTACGTCTTGGTAGCATCAAGTGGAGTTACGTAGCCCTAACCGTTCTTATACGGATTCTGGTGAGAACCTGCCAACTCCTAAACCTTTCCCTGAACTTTGTTGGGTCGGCGGCAGTGGTGTCCCCAGCACTACACGCGGTTGGCTCATCGAGTCCTCGGAAGAAAACCTCACTGTATGACGTTCCTGGAAACTTTCAGATGATGTAGGCTGGGCTTCAGGTATCTTTTGCTCGGGTTGTAAGCGAGCATCTCGGTCTGTTCTTTTCGCAGCAGGCCCGTCAGCGGAGGAAGGACGGACCGCGACCTCCCTCAAAGTCTGGGTTATGCGTCTGGACCTGGAGTACTTCAATTGATCAGCATTGAACATCTTGTGGAGCGCGAGATAAAGCCAACATGATAGGCGCGCTTATTGCGGCAGCCCAGGCAGCTCTTGGTGTGCCCAGCCGACTTTCTTCTGCCGAGGAAGTCTTGCGCTGGTTTCTCCTCGCCACAGCGAATGCATACGATGGAAACCACGCCACCTTGAGACCCTCGATGAGGCATAGGGTTCACTGCGGTTGAAAGCAGCTGCGTACGATGGGTTTGTTGGCGACCCGCGATGCTCAGAGTAGCTCTGTGACATTCAGGGCAAGTGCAAATTGGACCCACTTTTAGAAGGCCATCATCCAGTTGAGTTACGTTTTAGAAACCATACAACCAATCAGATATCAGAAAACTTAACTGATCCCTGCTGCACCAAACCCTCATATTTGGGAAAACTTATTCGATTAATGTAAAGTCAGCCTACGGCTGAATAATGTAAAGTCAGCCTACGGCTGAATAACTGATCCCTGCTGCACCAAACCCTCATATTTGGGAAAACTTATTCGATTAATGTAAAGTCAGCCTACGGCTGAAATATGGTTGGGTGATGCCGTTGCTCATTGGACAGGCACGATAACACGACCTGGCCAATGAGAACAGGAACATCAACAGAATTTCCACCGCCCCCTCCTTCCTTCGCTGCAGAGATGCCTGGCTCACCTGCACGCCAGCGGGGCTCACCCGGCTCACCCAGGGTCGCGCGATTGGCCGGAGCGGGGGAGCCAAGTACGCATTTTCCTCCGGGTCCCGCATTTTTTTCTCGACATTGCTGGACTTGCATCCATTTACATCCACTGTGCTTTAAAGCCATCGCGATGTCGAAAGGTTCACGACCTTGGAGCCCCCCTTCAGCCCTAGCCCCTCTCTGCTTGGCCATGGTGACCAAGTCCACCCGGAGCTCGTCGCCGGCTTCCTTTTACGCCGACTCGGAGACGCAACGGTCGGCGACAGCCAGCAGTCCTGACACTCCCTGTCCGTACATCGAGGCGCGACAGCTGCCTCGCGAGCTTAAGGACCATTGCCAGATTTTTCTCGAAGAACAGATTTGTACAGGCCCCCTTTCCTCGATTTTATCCGTCTTTCTATTCGCGCGTTCTTTTATTTTCGAGGGAGATGGGACTGATTGAGGCTTTAGATACTTGTGCCATCAATTTGCTCAATAGCACGCTGGGCTCCGGCATGTCCCGGCAAATGCCAACGCGCAAGAGCGTGCCGGTGCCGCCCCCGAGCCATCTCGCGCTTTTGGGTACGCTGGTTGTTCATCCGTTGCATACGACTCGTGCAGACAAGCCGGACCACCTGATCGTTTCCTCCCTCGCGCTTAATTACTTGCGCAACGTCCTGACCATCGCTGGACCCATCAACGCCGAATTCCGCGTCGCCTTCCAGTTCCACTCTACACCGAGATGGGCCCGCCAATCCGATCGTGCTGGCTCTGCCAGCGATAGCGACATGTCTGACGGCGACTCGGAACGGCGACCTGGATCACTTGCGGGGTAGAATGGCAAATGAGGCGAGTGTTTGGAGTCGAGGCCAGGACTTGTGGTCCACGGTGGGCTGGGCGTTCAACACGGCGACAGTGCATCCTCACCGGTGGCGCTACTGGAAAGTGTGGCTCGGGCTCATGCTCGACGTCCTCGATGCCGACTGGGCCGAGAGGGAGAGACTTGATCAGGAGGCCCACGAAACCAGTGGCAGGCGCGGACACGAGTCCGTTACGTGGCGCAGTGAATCCATGATTTACATGTATATGAATCAGGAGGACGGTCGTCAGACGGGACACAAGCGAATTATGAAAGCGCTCTTTGCCGACGGGGAGGCCAATCCTCATCTGCCTTCTTGGAGGTCTTCGAAAGGAGCCAAGGGGGCCTAAGAAGGCGTCGAGAAAACGGAAATGGGAGCAAGCCCTCGACCTGGAAAGCGACAAGCTCGGCGACTACTTTGACTCTGATTCGATATCATCCAGTATTTCTGAGCCGCCAACGCCGGAAAAGCGCCGCGGCGCGAGCAGCGTCGTCTCGTTTGGCTGTTCGAATCCCGGTCTAATCGAATCAATACGTCTCCGACTGAGGTTCTTCAGGCTTCTCTCTGCTGCCACCTCGGTGCTTCCCTGGCGGTTGGACCTTAACCGGCTCCACGAAGACTTTGCGGCAGGCATCAAGCTGCTCCCTTTGCAGATGTTCGCTCTGTTTCTATCACAACGGGAGAATCCACTGCTGCCCGAATCATATGTCACCATCATCAAGGAGCTGTTCCATTTGCTGCTGCCTTCCCGGCACAAGAATCCTGCAAATGTGGATCCAGAAGGCCATGCCATGGGCAGCTTGAGCATACCCATGCTGGAGCACTGCTACATTTCGTTGCCTGCCAATACGGTCGGGTTGGAGGACAACGCGAAGCTGTCTCTGGTGGTTGAACACGCGATGCAGCTGTTATGGAATTGCGAAATGGCGGAATACACGGACAGTTTTGCCAAAGCAGCCTTGAGAGGCGTCGAGGCGCGAGAGGCAAAGGCGAAGAAGAGGGGAATGGGCAAGCGCCGCGCACATGCCCGCGCTATCGTGGCCCGAGATGTCCTGGCTGGCTCTGCCGAAAGAATCCGTATGTTGATACAGTTACTGGAGGCATCGGCTGATACGGACAGTAAGAAACACCAGGGCTTGAACTCGACCACCGACTCAGTAGAGAAGTGTATCGTAGTCAAATTGTAGCAACTTCCACAAAAAAGTTATCTCACTTCGCCAGCGATCGCAACCGTAGCGCCGAAAGCGCGATTGACAGCCTGAACTATCTCCGGGGGGCGACGTTGTCTTGAGATCTTGGGTGCTGCCGCTGCCGCGGACTACCAATTCCCCGTCGAATGGAGCAGGGACCGGTTTCTCCGTCGGGGCCGGGGGTTGGCGGGTAGTCTGTGCGTCGGCTACGATCTCCGCCCAAGACTTTAACATGATTGCCCCATTCCACGGAGGCTCGATCGCACATCCCTTTCCCCCTTCATCATCGTCATCCATTTCCCATACCCATGCTCATATATATTTAGATGCATATATATACTATATATATATATATATTCTGTCTCCCGATCTCAAGGCAGGAGAGGGTCTGGCTTACCTGGCCGAGCAATTGTAATCGGTGGCCGTGCTCCTCGCTCACGCAATAGATCTGACCCAAGACGACGTCCTGCATCTCGCCGCACGAGTCCCCTCGATGGTGTCGCTGTGATTGCCCTCGCGATGCTAGCCCTGCAAGTCGAGGTATGGCGCTGTTGGTGCTGCGTGGCGTCAGTCAAAGGCAACATCCTGCACCGGGACATTTCCGAGAACAACATCATCATAACCGACCGCAAAACGACTGGCCACATGGGCATGCTGATCGATCTGGACCTTGCCAAGGAGCTATCTTCACTGCGCGCCGAGTAGCATTGCTGTCCCCACCAGGCAGCAGCGGAAGGGTCTAGAAGCGACACCCCGTGTTTCCTCGCCCAACCCGTTCCCCACAACTCGTCTCTACTACAGTCAGTTGGTAATCTGGTCTGAGCTCGCTGAGGTAGAGGGTGTCACGCGCGCAATCACGTGACATCGCTACTTTTGTCCTTAGTGCCGGCTAGGGACAGTTAGAAGCACCCTTCCACCCACTCGTCCCTTACCGTTCTACCCCAGACGCATGCGGGGCTGCCTCCCATAAACCCGGAAATAACGTGGGTCCGGACAGGCGATCTCTCAAAGCTTTTCAAGCTCTAGGGCTGATAGGGAGAGCTGCGAGGTTACTTGCCTTTACGCTCTGTCGCGGAGCCATTATTGCCCTTCGCCTTGGCCCCCCTTCTCCCCCCTTCTTCTCATCACCGATAACGTATTCTAGGATGGCGCCCGGCGTCGATTGCATCTTCCAAATCACCTCAAACAAGCGTCGCCATTTAAGATACAAGGAGGGTGGCGATTTTATTGTCGACAGCGAGGCCATAAGCTTCGGGACTGACCCGTACCATGAATCGATGGCCGACAACGCCGACACGCATAGGGACTGCACGCCTTCGCCACAGTTTGTCTGCCGGGATCTCCTCCGCATCATCATCGGCTCTAGGCCAATGGATGCACATCTTCGCTAGGTCTTTGGCAGGAATCGTCTCGCCTGTGATCTCCTGCTCGACGGTTCTAAGCGGTTCGCCGTCCGGATGTGAAAGAGCCAGGGGTGTTTCTCATCGTCAATCTCGGCCGGCACGGCACTCTCATGAGGTCCGCAGACCCTGCCTTGACTCTGGTCAAGTCGTAGCGAGCTTTCGGGGCCAGCGTAGGCAGGACTTAGGTACTACCTTAAAGGTGGAACGGACCAATGGCATCACAGGAACACCAGTCCAGTCAGATAATCTCAGACCACTCAAACCGACCGACTGCTCCGGCCGGTCGGTCTGTCTGTTAGCCACACCGTCAGAATGGCTTGGTCAGAACACGATACTCAACATAGTCCTCGCCGTCAATATGAACGATAGTGCCCGCCGACACGAACTTTCCCGTAAATGGCCCGGTCGACTTCCGCCCATACTTGACGCCGTCGTGCATCTTGGCGTCCTCGGCATAGGCTTTCATGCGAAACGACTCCTTGCGAGCCCAGACCTTGTTGACGTGCTGCGTATCCTCTGACTCGTGAAGAAGCGTCCGTCCGTTGATGGCTGAAGCGGGAGCCGCTATCGCAGCAGCATTGTTAGCCGCGGCGAAGAAAGCACGTTCTCGGGTTAGAGCAAGGCGGTCGGCGCGATCCTGGGCCGCCTCAGCTCTGGCTAGCTCGCGACGCGCTAAGGCGCTGGTGCGTTCTATGACGTGGAGCCTCTGACGAAGCTGAGCCGAGCTCAGCTTGTTCTCGTTGAGCAATTGACGCGGCGCCCGTCTGTCCGCTCGCGGATCGATTCGCCGCGACTGGCCAGGCTCACCGCCGCCATAGCTTGTTCTCGGGCTGGTCCGATCCATGTCCACGTTGGCAGGACGGGTGATGCTGAAAGTCGGCATAGCGACACTGGTCTGTTTAATGGGGGTTCTGGCTCGGGTCTTGGCCTCATACACGGCCCTTGTTTCGTTTTGGGGGTGATTATCGATCCACCACTTTCTACTAAGTAGTAGTAGTAGTATTGATTACCGTCTGGGACATCCCTATAAGGGCAAAAGACGTGCTAGGCTAGAGAAGACTAGATACATAGAATATCCCGAGTACCTGGACTAAGGACCGTGTGTAGCACCTAACCACTCCATCTAGCAATTCTGAGGCTCTGAGGCCGGTCGGAAATTCAGGGCCCTTCCCCGTCAGCGGGTTCCAGGCACGGCAGTGAAGCCGTAATAGTAGTCAGTCTTTGGCCGAGGCCGGGTGACTGAGAAAGCCCACGAAGTCATGGGCCGGCCGCAAGCCCCTCGAGGAGGGCCTACGGGGCAGAAAGAAAAGAAAAGAAAAAGGAGCAGAGAGTGTAGCAATGTTAGTCGGGGTTCGCCCCGATGGCGATGTCTTCTCCCGCAGGAGCGTTCGATCCGGGCCACTTCGTGGTCATGACAGTCGGCGAAGTCCCCGTGCCTACTCCTCGTAGCAAGCAGGTGGTGGAGGTGTTGTCGATTGGTGTGCAGCTCCGGGGGCACCGGGTGAGGCCTTGAGCTCTGGGCTCTTGTAGCTCCTCAGGGCCCCGCGGCCCACCAGTCCAGAGGAAGTCGTGGCCGCTGGGCGGCAGCAGGGCCGCAAGGCAGCAAAGGTCGGGGCCGCGAGACGGCAGAAGGAGTCAGGGCCGCAAGGCGGCAGAAGGCGAGGCCAGCCGGTAAAGGCGGCAGAGGGTGCGAGGCAGCGCGAGGCGTGCCAGGAAGGGCGAGAAGAAGTCGGGCCGCGAGGCGGCAGAAAAGGTCGGGGCCGCGAGGCGGCAGAAGTCGAGGCCAGCCAGCAAAGGCGGCAGAAGAAGGCGATGCCGCAAGGCGGCAGAAGGCGAGGCAGCGCAAGGCATGCTGTTATTTGAGACCAGCTTCCCAAGAGGAGACGAACTCTCCAAAGTCTGCCTTTTGGTGCTTGCTAGAGCCCCGTTAGGGCTAGAGAGGCAGAAGCATGGTCGGGTGACCTGAAAATAATTATCCACTAACAGGCTGCTAACAGCCCGCAGAAGAGAAGAATTTTTACAGGGGAGAGTTGACCACTTTCTACTAAAAATCCACCATAGTGGGTCAATCTGTGGCTACGGCTGTGGCGAGGACCGGCCCCCGCAAAATTTATTTATGTGTACTCCGTACCTTCCCTACGAAGTACACAGCCTCCATGGCGTAGTGGTGACACGTCTGGAGCCTCTGCGTCGCAGAGGGGTCGGTTCGAAGCCGGCTGGAGGCACCCCTGGGCGAACAGGGCACACCCGGGTTCCCGCCCGTCAACAGGGAACAGCGTCATGAGAAAACACAATCGGCGTACCAACCACCATCAATGACTAACACAACCACGCTTCAACTTCGACACATCGCGCTTCAGTTGCTGGGAATAGGATGCTGAACACTTGGAGAAATTGACCTTCAAGCAGGTCTGTCATGAAGCGAAAACAGTGGTACGGTTGGCGCAGCGTAAGATGATCTGTGGGGCTTGGGGAGTCAAGGAACAAACGTGTTGAACTGTACTCTAGACAGTGTAAAGGCCTTATAGGGACCTCCCTCCGGGCGAAATAAATCCTACTACGAAGTACACATCGTACAATCGGATTTTCGCAAGCTTGACTGCACAACACAACGCACAACACACTGCGCAACACACCGCATAACACAGTAGTACCAAAGTGAAGCTTCTCGTGATATCTCTACAACACCGCCACCGCAATGGATGCCGTTTTCGCAAGCCAATTCGACTCTCACGAGGCTATCAAAGCCGCCTGTGATGCTGCTGCCGAAGACGAAGGTTTCTCCCTTGCGATCAAGAAGACCACGCGGAGAGGTGGGAAAGCCGGCGTCATCACGTATCAGATGCTGATATGCTCGAAGGCTGGCGAGTATCGCGATAAGCACGATCCTTCCGCCCACGAATCGAGGGCTCGGCCTAATACGAGCACGCAAAGACCGACTGCCACTTCAAGATTCGCCTCCAGCCTTCCTACGGCGGCGAAAGCTGGAGGCGTCTCCAACCCAATCTTCCAAGCCACATCACCACCCCATGACGCCGGCCATCACCCACAGCAAATATCGCGCCCAGCTTATTGCGGATAACCTCGATCACATCATCCACTTGTACAACGGTGGCCTTAAGCCGGCCCTGATAACCTGCCAGCTCCGTGGGCTCTGCCAGAACCCAGAGCATGACCCGGATCTCAAATTCCTCCTTGCACAGCACATTCGCAACGCCATCGCCCTATATCGCACCCAAGAACTCGCGGGCCGCACGCCTCTGCAGTTTCTTTATGATCAGCTCAAAGACCCGTCTCTCGGCTTCTTCTTCCGGGATACACGTGACCAGGAAGGCCGGCTGACCGGCCTTTTCATCGCACCGCGCACCGGCATCGAGCTTTGGAAGCGTTATCCGAATGTCCTCCTTTTGGACTGTACGTACAAGACCAACCGGGTCAGGATGCCTCTTTTGAACGTGTGTGGCTCTACGGCAGAGAAGATGACCTTCTCTATAGCCGCTGTCTTCCTAAGCGGCGAGGCAGAGCCACATTACAGGTGGTCACTACAGTGCCTGCTAGAGCTAGCCGAAGAAGAGGGGATTCCGATGCCACGGGTCATCGTCACGGATCGAGCTTGCCTTAATGAAAGCCATCGTTTCCTTCCCAGCGCTTCGGCTAGTAATCTGCCTGCTCTGCCGCTGGCACGTCAACAAGAACGTTCTTGCGAATTGCAAGGCGTACTTCCCTAAGGCGAAGAGGGACGATAAAAATCGGGTTATTCGCGACCCTAAGTTCACCACCTTCCTGAAAGAATGGCATTCTCTCGTCAACGCCCCTGATGAAGCCGCTTACGAGCAACGGCTACAGACGTTCAAGGAACCCGGCCGTCACCCAGAGGCCGCTATAGCATACGCTGTGAATACGTGGCTAGACCGCTGGAAGGAGAAGATCGTGCTGTGCTTCGTTAACCGGGTGCGGCACCTAGGCCATACAACAACCTCTATCGTTGAGGGCATGCATGCCTCGATGAAGCGGTTCCTGTGGACCTCGACGGGCGATTTGACCTCTGTTTTCCAGCGTTTTAAGGCCTTCTGGAGGCACCAGTCGGACGAGATACTCAATTCGCAGCAGATTGGCATACATAAGACATCTACGTCTACTATTAGCCCGATTTTCGTCAAATCAGGCCAAATCTCTCGTCTTGGGCGCTCAAGACGATAGGAAAGGAATTCCGCGCTGTGCCTAGGGAAGTCACTGACAAGTCAAAGCCACCGCCCGGCCGCTGTGATCTTCAGCACCACTGCAGCATTAAGGCCACACTCGGCCTTCCCTGCCGGCACGATATCTTCAATCGACTTAAAGATGCCGCTGTCGCCGGCGTTGGCGCCGCCGGCGCTGTTCCCTTCGAAATGAGTCACGTGGACGAATTCTGGCATCGCGAAAACCCTCAGGCCACGAACTCTAACGACGTTCCCCTCGAGCCACTGCCTGTGCGCGGCAAAGGCCGACCCAAGGGCTCATTGAACCTCGAGAAAGCACACGCCGCAATTCCTCGGCATTCGAGATCACTGAGAGAGCCGAGCGTGACGAGGCCACCAGGCCACCGCCGTCAACAGCGCCGGTAGCACTCACTGGCACAGGCACAAGAAAGCGCAAGGCTGACGGCAAGGTTGAGAGAAGAGCCAAGGGGAGGGCCAAGGCGCCGAAGGCGGCCACTGCTGCCGCTGCTAATATGACGAAGCAGGGGTTGGAATACCTTCAAACACACGGGGATTCCTACGAGCCGGGTACAGAGATGCCACGGGCGTATCAGCGCGCCGCTGCTGCCGCTGACGACTCTCAATATGAGCTTGCTGGCGAGACCCAGGACACAATCCTCTGTTATCAGGCCACGCAGCCGGCCACACAGTGGACCTTGCAGGGGGTTCCCTTGCCGTCAAGAGGAAGAGGGAAGATACCGAGGACGAAGATGACCGTTTGGCCGATTTTAATATAATGGAAAAGGAGATAGATGCAGAGGAGCGTTTGCAGCAGAATTGGCCGATGACGAGCTGTAGTTACTACTGCCTTCGCCTTTGCCTTTGAATTGGCAGAATTGCGCCTCCTATGACTCTAAAAATGACCTTCCTTCCTACACACGTATTGATGCACCACGGCCGGCATCACTTTGCGGCATCAATTGCGGCATCAATTACGGCATCAATTGCGTTGCTCGCGCCTCCAAGTTGGTGGTCGGGATCGCGCACAATTGGCAGGGCCCGGGCTCTGGCGCGAACCAGCCACAGATTGACCCACTATGGTGGATTTTTAGTAGAAAGTGGTGGATCGATAATCACCCCCTTTTTAGTAGAAAGTGGTGGATCGATAATCACCCCCTACTTTATGTATCTAGTCTTCTCTAGCCTAGCACGTCTTTTTGCTTTTTTGGAGATGTCCCAAACGGTAATCAATACTACTAAGTTACTAGTTATAGTAATTAAATCTCGCGATAACCTCACTTTCTGGATGCCAATTGCCTTTGCCTTATGTTACGAAAAGTTGGAGCTACTGTCTAATGATTCAGATGACACTAAGTATCTGGCTTCGCGACACCTCTATGTTATGTCAGACATGTTTGTCGATAGTGTAAGTGCGCCTCACCAATCGTGACTTACGACAGCGCCATTTCCAGGGGAAACGCGCATAGCTAAGTTACCGCTAGGTGTGAGGCGCCCTTGCCTAATACGGCTAGACACATGGAAGATAAATATCACGCATAGAACGATTAAGGGGGTCCTGGTTTAGGGCCATGCATAGGTGATGATTCGTTCAAGAAGGGTGCCCTGCACATGGAGATCGTTGGTCAGCAGCGTCCTGCATCTTTTGCTGCAGGTCATCAATCCTACCACCTGTTCTCGGATGGCTGCCGCCACGCCCAGAAAGGATTAGTTAACCATGAAATTGCACTGCCGGCCGAATCGCGCTTCTGCTTCACCCGACATTCTCGAGATGGTTGCAATATGTACACAGCAATGACCTGACGTCTTCGTTCTACGAGCTGCTATGCCGCAGCCACAGTGTGCTTCCACCTCTTAGCACTTTTTCTGCCAGATTTTTGCGTTGTACCAGGCACTACGCCCTCTTCTTGAGATGGCTGCGTTTAGAGGCATATGGAGAAACCCGAAGGTGGGCGTAGTGGAGGGTCTCGTGGCAGCAGCTCGGTTGGAGCGCGATGAAGCGGGATAGTGCAGAAGTACTTTAAAGTAGAGCTAGAGAGAAGAGTGAAGGCGAGGTGGGAGATGTGGGGTCTCGGAGACGTATGCGAGAGAATGGTCAGGGGCCACAACTTGCGTCACCAAACCGCGTCCTTTTTGGGCGCATTTCAGCGACACTACTTCCAGGTACATGGACACAAACCGCGATGATGACGTTCGAGGTGCGGCAAGGGCTGTTACCTACCCCAACCTCCAGAATTGCCGCTTTTGGCGGCTCCAACACTGTCTGTTGATCTGAAACGTGCTTGTGAACTACGCCCAGAAGAAGGTTAAGACATTTTTCGATTCTTCTGCGACATAGGCTTTTCCGGCTCTCCGCCCGCCGAGCCAAGAATATAGCGTCTAGATTGGGCAAAAGCAGGCTCAGGTAAGTCTGGTGGGCAACGGTCGTGGACATGCGCGAGTAGTTCATACTCCTGTGGAGCTAATGAGCGCCGAAGTGCTCCTTTATTGTCCTGACTGGCTTACTATGTAACATAGTGTACACTACAGTATTATTTCCGTTTGAGCTGGTATTTTACCAGGAGGAGGCAGAATTCAGCCGGGCAGGGAGGGGCTTTTGCACAAACTTCATGCATGTTTCGAGAGACGGCGCACGTCTGGATGGCGTGGCGTCATCTTGTCCTCTTAGTAGAAGCGATTTTGACCAATGAGAACTGGAGCTTAGAACATCAATAACTCTGGGCTGCGCGTATGATTGGTCAAGTGACGCCAAGCTGCATCAGAGGCTGTGCACCTGATGGCCGTTACCTAGGACCTGCGGGACGGAACAGAGTGAGTCAGTCAGTCACAGATCGTAAGAGACAGGGGTCACACAACAAGGGGCACGGTTGGTGTGGATGACTGAACAACGATCGGGAAGAAGATCCCCTGTGTATCGGGCAACGAAAGACTCTTGATTCTCTATCTAAGTGATGGTGAAAAGTTGGCTTTTATACTTGGAATTTTGGGCTGAGTGGCGATGTCGCCACCTAGGCAGCATGTAACGGGCTAGGCCCTGCTGGACAAGGCAGTGCCTTGTCGGTCTAAGCACTGTTGCTCCAGTAACGGCTTAGTCTATTTTGTTGGAGGATTTCTGTCCTTCTATTTTCCTTTCCTTCTTCTTTCCTCAGCTCGAATGTAAAACGCACGAGGACTACATATGATGCGTTTTTGCGTGTCCCTACGCACACTGGGGCGTTGGGCACGGCACCAAGCATCAAGGACACCGGCTGCCGCACGCGCAGCCATGTGAACAGGCAGCCGTGTGAACAGGCAGCCGTGTGAAACAGGCAGCCGTGTGAGCAGGCATCGGTATGTGGCTGCCTTGTAAACCGGCCGGATCACCTAGATAGTCCGACCTGGCTGCCTCCTACATAAGGATGAAGCAGTCATAGCTTAGTTGGAGAGACAACCATCCCACTTCATCTCATTCATATGCAAAATGCATCAACATAGCTGTAATTTACACTATTAGAACCCATCACACAGCATAGATGACGATGTCACCTAGAAGGTTCGAATCCATCACTAATATGGCATTACGAACTGCTTGCTGCCTTTTAGGCAGCACCGTGAATGAGCGTCTTGATCTTGACAGGGCGGTAGAAACCTTTCGCCAGAACGCAATTACGGTACGGTCAAAGCCTTGAGATGTACCTACGGCAAGCAACTGCCAACTGGTAAGTTAATTTTCTCCTCGATGCGTGATACTGTAATTTCGCATCTCGAATTTTTGTTATTTGAAGAGTTCAAAGAGCATGAGAGGAGTATCTGCAGATTATGGAAGGGCCGGAAAAATTACACGATATGTATTTCGCGCAGCATCGAAGACTGTGAAGCGTAGACTGGTACACCAGATTCCTAAATACGCTACAACTTGGCGACGCGTGTAAGCCAGGATATCACAAGTATTGCGGCAGCGAAAAATGCAGCGGCTGTACAATGTTCGTTCAACCGCTTGGCAGTGGCTTATTCGATGCTCCACACGCCGGAGCGGGCAACCCAGGGCAGCTCAGGGCAGCTCAGGACAGGCTCAGGCGGCTCAGGCAGCTCAGGGCAGATCAGGGTAGCTCAGCCCCTGCTCAGGGTAGCTCAGTCCCTGCTCAGGTTCGGCACGTACTTACTCAAGGTGGATCAGGTGGTGCTAATGGAAATACAATAGAGTGTGAACTTTCAAGGGTAGACCATGATTGCTTTGTCGCGCGGCTGGAATAGATCTGAGGAGCGTGTATCCTGAAGCTTCGGGAGGATTCTCGCGGCCAGCCCTTCATGGCAGACTGGTTGCTCGCTAGCTTACTGGGAAAAGTAAGATAGCTGCGTGCCTCCCTAGGTAACTGTTAAAGGCACCACGATAGCCCAATTGACCTCCATCATGCCGTAAGAAGTAATGAGCAGGCAAACATTCGAGGAGCAAATTGACGTTTTTCAAGAATGCTCGTTCCTTAGTTACGTTGTGTTCTAGTCACATTGACGATCGATGCACTTCCCGCGACTGAGAGCCGATACGATGCCGCCCACGTGGTTGTCCTTGACAATTGGTTTGTTGCAAAGGACGCTGGACGCTCGATCATGCACGCCTTTTATCTAGGTGTGGATTTTTAGGTGGCCCGACGGCCGTTCAAGCGAAAGACAGAATTAATGTTTAACGACGATTACGCCAATACACATTGGAAGAGGTAGGAGCCAAGTACACAAGTTGTTATGAAGATCTAGAAAGGTGCGGCCCAACGGTCCTATTTATGCCGTTGGGTAACTTCCATGGGCACCAAATTAGCCATACACGTGAGGTCACTATAGGTCCTGATACATGGCCTTATAATGATCTTTCAGGTGGTCCTTGATAACACCTAATAGCCTAACACTCCGACATTCCTCGTAAGAACGATTGGAACACTTCCACCGCAAAAGTTCCTCTATCACCACCGCGCGAAAATGGACGTCAACTAGAAGGCTGAAGCTCGAGGAACGTAAGTTCTCCTTGTCTCATACTAAAAGAAAGGATATTCTCCTGATTAGGGAAGTCTGGTTGAGAACAAGGTGACTGCTTTAGCCACACACATAGATTTCGCGCGATGCAGGTTGACCGTGGAGATACCAAGCGATACATTCGATTTGCTACCTTGCAGACCAACAACTTCGATTGGTCAAAGGCATAGCTTAGGACACTGTTCCGTGTATTCGTAGAGCATGGTTCCGCAGATGCTCCATATGGTCCAGTGGCAAATCGCAGATCGAACATCTAATCTCATCGCCCTCGCGTAAATTCGACAAGTGCTTGCGTCGGAAGTGCTTGGACAGGTCTCCAGGAGTGTAAAACTCGCGAATGAGAACCTCCACGGCCCCATCATCTGATGTCAAATCAAGGGCCTTGCCGACACAGATGAAGCATC